CAAGTGACCACATTCCCTAACTAGCATCCTATGTTTCCTCTAGCAGAAGTGGTTCATATGAATTCATTGTCGCGCATATTTTAACCTTAGTTGTAAAGCAAAAGAATGCTGTTTAGATTCCCGTCCTGGTATTCTTTGAAGGCGATTTTATTCGTTCCATTATAGTTATCTCCAACTCTCTTGTGCAGAAAAAAGAACACTAGTAGGAACTGATAAGACCTAAACTTCTTGTCACCCTAATATTATTTGATGTTTATATCTCTGTAAATTGTCACCAAGAACATTCACTGATACAAATGATATTGAACCATTGATTAGATTTCAAATTCAGATCTAATCATGCTGCAGTTTTTCAGTTTGCTACTTAGTGCTTAAAAGGAAGTCAACTTTCCGGGAAAATGCTGAATTTCCTAGTTTAACCTCAAGAACTATGTTGCATGTAGAAACCTCCATTATGCTTCATGATGAAAGCCACTTCTTGAATTGCCAACCAATCAAGTCTCTGAAGCGACTCTCCATCTTGTTTTGTTATTGAAAGAAGCGATGGGTTGTGTGAGTTTTCCTGATTTTTCTGACTGACTTCAGTTGCCCTCTAGTTTTCGTATTCATAACATTTCAGGATATACTTAAACTTCAATGATTACCTTTTAGTTCAAAAAATACACACGGTTATACTTAAAACTTATGTCAACTTATATTGAAAACTGATTCCAAGTTTATCGTAGTTTGTAATTTATTCAATTGACAGAAGAAAGAATTTTTTGTTTTATCAAGCCTTTATAAAAACTTGATTAAAATTTGAAGAGTCTATTGAATAAAAAAGATAGATAAATAAATTTGTTGCACGTGAATTGCTTACGCTTGATTTATAGTGTCTAGTCCACCCACTGTGTATTTTTGTTTCATTATTCGGCAAAAATAAACAGAGCGAATTCATTCCAAGCAATTATTAGATTTATGATTCAGAAGTATACTTAAAAATACTTTTTCTGTTGTTTGTTGACAAAAGCTGGTCAGCGTTTTCTGACTATCCTAGCACACTCACGAGATGAAATGAACAGAAAATGGATACTCACTTTCATTTTACAGCTGAGTTATTTCAATAAAAGTCGGTGTAAGCTGACGGTTGATAGCAGTGATTATCCAGGTTACAAGCCTGGTGGTTTGAATCCTTCCGGTTGTACAGCTTCACTTAAATACAAGTCACCTTATAATGAATGTACTGTTCGGTATATCAATTCGATTTGTATGTTTAATTGTCACACTAATCGACTGATTAGAAGAGGTTTCATGCAAGCTGTTGACACCCATCGTCAAGTCTTTCTACCTAGCTATTATTGTCAGTCATTTATGACTGCTAAAGTTACCTGGAAACTGAGACACACAAATCATGTGCATTAGAGATAGGTGACCGAAATTTCACTTAAGCAACTTTCGATCGATACATGTGACCATTCGATGTGGGGATCACTGGAAAGTATGTATCGTAGCCTTATTTAAGCTTTATCCTTGTTATAAGCATACCACCTTCATTACGTCAACTATGAAGTGACTTCTTCTCTCTATTCATTCCGGCCAATGCCAAGCACTGTAAACCAGACAGCTACATCAGTAGCCTATTGGTGACTCATTCCTCCTGCATAGTTTATTGGAAAGGTCTGCGACCTCAGTATTCAGTTTCACAGGCTAGAATCACCGATGGAATACTGGCTGAAGATACGCATCATTGATACATGTCAGTAAGCATACTACATAGGTCCATTACCTGCTAGCTATTAACTCTCAGCACGTGACATAGACATATTTGTAATTCCAATTTCAGTATCTGTACTGCATGAAATTAGCTTTAGAACATGAGTTATTAGCTTTCACCAATCCCAGTATGTGTATACTACTGTGTAGACAATGTTAGAATTTCTCAACTGATGCAATTCTGAAAGTGGTCATGAGCTTTCGATTAGGATTTTGCTTGTCAAAGTATCAAATTTCTGCAGTGTAATATAATTTCAGGAAAGAAAAGTGACGGTTAATACTTAACTTGGTTTACCAGATTATTCAGATTAGTGGTAGCGATTTTGAGTCACAAGAAGACTTAAATATTTTATGGCGAATACCTCTGCTACCAGGACATCTGAAACATTGTTTTAGAGACAGTTTTCATCATAAAAACATATCAGTTGATAACAAGATCTTCTTACCTCCTGAACTCATTACAGTTTTAATCTCAGAACAAGTCGAGTTTCTTTCATGAAGTCACAGACAGGTTAAATGAACATCCATAGTCCCCAAATTTCTTATGGTGCTTCGTCCTGGATAGAATTATCTCCAAATTAGTCTTTTCGAGTCACTAGAATGGCTGTTTTCATAGGAAGACTGCTGTAACTAAGGCTTTACTGATTTATGCTTATACACATAAATAAACACACCGTAAGAACCTACTAATAAATTAGACTATGTGAACACAAATTTTAAGCGTCTACACCCCAGGGTTAACACGGTTGGAAGTTAAAATAACTAACTGGTAATTAATTAATTTTAATGAAATCTTTGGGTTCTAACTATCATAAATTTGACGTAGAACGTTTACAGTTGGTATATGCACATACTACAATGTGTTCCTGAGGTTGGCTTACTGAAAATTCTTCGCTTCAAGCCAATTTAATCTATCCGGATGTGAAAACTAACTGAAGAGTAGTTATTGAAGCATCCCGTGGTTTGATGTATGCATAACCTATTCATTCATCATTTTTTAACTTCTCAGAAATAAATCACTGACAAACGGTTTTGGAAGTAATCTAGCGAGATTTCTTTTTGTTTACTATTTTTGCTTCTTGGAAAGTGAATTCATGTAAACTGCACGTTGTTTCAGTAACATAAAATGTCCAACCAGAAAAATTGACAGGTTCGATTCGCTTATTTCTTCTTATATAACACTGACAACAGTAATCACTTGATGTTGAATACAGTGTGATTTTTCAATAAATTTACTCCTCATAAAATGTTTTAAATAACTATCGCAGTTAAATGATATTATTAATGAAAGTATGACAAGCAATAATACACGGTGACCAGTTGGTCTTAGGTTATCGTCTAGTTTGTAGATACATTGTCGCACGACTGGACGAATAGAAAAGCACCCGTAGGTTTACTAGTAAAGGATTATCTAGCTAGTATACAAATTTAGAGTTCCTGCTTACTATTCTGGTAATAGTTATGTGATGAACTGCTGTGAGCTCAACATCTCAGTGCAAACTGCCGTCATATTGTTTTGTAAATTTGATATCTACTTGTGTGACGATAAGCCAGAGACATTTAAAGAATGCACGAGAGTACTTATTGCTTTTCTTTGACACTTAAATAATTAGAACAGTATGAAAAAGGAGTAGTTTGGTGTAATAAATACGATGGGAATTTTTCTATAGCCCAAAATTTTAAGCGGGCCACCAGATGGCAACAATATTTTTTTTCTGTAGAATGCAGCAGTTTCTTGTCAGTTAATCTTTATAGCTTTTAATGACAGTGAAAGTCGTCCTCCTGGTTTACCCACTTGGGTTTCTTGATGGTTATTGACATTTGTCAGCAGCATATATCTTACTCGAACCTCATCTAATACAAATCAATGTGCATCGTGACTCCTAGTCTCCTAGCTTGGCAACCATATTACAAAGAAATTCATCACAGTTGTCCAGCACTTGGCACTGGCCAACATAAAACTGCCTACACCCCAGTGACCAATGCATCCATATACTCAGATTTAAAAGTCAAATTGTACTTTATTAGCACCAAGTTTTTAGAAATTCTAAATCATATGAAACAGTCACTTTGATACTAACTAGGTTGTTCATTTTCAAGAATCTAAGTTCATCAAACTGTATTATGTTAGTAGAACATAAAATAATGGAATGATCACCATTTCAAGTGAGCTTATCCTTCCTAGATAGCATTTTACTATTCCACATATTGTGCTTATTCAGACATTGTTTTACTAATGAATAAGGTGTCTTTAAGGTATTTGTTTGTCATAGATCTGTTTTACTTGTAAGTTTTTTGACCCTGTTAGGGATAATTACCCTCCCAAATTAATCGGCAAATTCCTTAGTAGTCGTAAGAAAATGTGACTAATGGCGGGGACACTGGTGATGGTAATAATAATGATAATGATAATAACAATAATAATAGTAATAATAATGGTATTCAAAATCTCTACAGTATTACTATATAATGAAGGCGCCTCAAAGGCTTTACGTAAGATTCCCAATAAGGCTGCCTGGTATTAGAGTGGCATTTAAATCTACAAACGCATTTAGAAATGAGCTTTGTAGATTAAAATATCCTATTGATCCAATTAAGCAAAGTAATTTAGTTTGCTAAATCACTTGCAACGATTGCGAAGTCAAATACGTGGGTCAAAGTAGTCGACCAGGTTCAATAGGCTGTCCGAACACTAAAACCTAGCTTTATCAAAACTGTTAGATCCTAGTAAGATGAGTAATGTAGAAAATACTCGATCGTAGTTATGCATATAATTAAACATAACCACACAGCAGTATAAGACTGGGTGAAAATCCCTAAAACTAACGTGGCAGGGTGGAGGGAAAGACTGATAACCGCATCTTTGTTTATCGAATCAACACCAAACACCATGAGATAGGAACGACTCAGTATTTGTTACCCGATATATTGTAAACCTTACTATCCATATCACTAAGGCGGTGGGCAAAATTTAGGCTGTATGATCTGTTTTAAAGTTATGGAATTATACTGATATGACTATGGACAGCTAATTGTGCCCGAAACGTGATGCAGTAAATAATACTACTTCCCTGTGTGACACATCTAATCAATCAACTGAAATGAAATTACATTCTACCACAGTGTAAAAGTTTTACTCATGTTAATGCTCGAATTCTCCTCCTGTACTAATAAGGATTTACCTTCAAGTGTATGTATATTCGTTTCAGGGTTGATTTTACTTTTGTCTCTTTTCTTGAAATTTCAAGGCTTGTTTATCGCCACACGAATCCCGTTGGGCACAACTACTAGCCAGTTTAGATCGTCGAGCTCAAGCAATCCGTGAAGCCTGTGGTGATACTGACAGTGTTAGTCGTTTAGTTGAAAAAACTGTTGACCAGTTAGTATCACGGTGGAGTCAACTACGCGATCCTCAAATCAACTGCGAAGATTGGCCTGAAAAAGATTTGAAAGACGTTGAGAAATATGTGGAGTCTACAACTAGAACAAGTTTGCTGAGCAGTATTCCACATCACTCGACAAGATCTGAACAGGTAATCTTCTGTTGATACGGTTCTCGCCTATAAATTTGCTCACCAGTTGTAAGTACTGCATATGTTGTTATTGACAGCATACGGCCAACCTTGTATAAATTAGTATGGGTAGACACCATTCCAGTCAGTGCATTTAGGTAGTTAACAACTGCTCTTAAGAGAACAATATAATCAGTAGCATGAAATAAGGTGAGGACTATCTGGCCAAGAATGTTTTTAACTGATCTGGTGCAGATATTCAGAATACTACCTCTCAGTGTGTAGCTGTTAATTGCCACCAGGGAGACGCAAAATGGTAACCAATCGTGCTCAGAGGCGCACACGAAAATTTGACTATCCCCTGACACTCTATCAGATTATTTTGGAACAACCAGTAACTTTAATAGTTTTCTATGCATTTGAAACCTTATTTTTCTGCTGGGAAAATGCATTGCATTGGTACTAAATCTCTGTTCAGAGTCTTATTCACCCAGGTGTCGATTTGTTTATTGAATTAACAGAATTCACAAACAGAAGTCAAAAGAACGGCTGAAGGACACCTTGTGATTCCGAAAGCAACAAAATTGTCACGTTTCGATATGCAACCACCACCATCTCCAACTGGTGAGTTAATTATCTTCAGTCTATTGGCTTCAATGGTGATATTCTCTTTCTCTGGTTGTTCAAATGTTGAGTTATAGCTAATATTCTAATTTAAAGTGTAATTTAATGGACAGAGTAAAAATTGATAATATTTCCTGAGTTAGTCACGATGGCATCCTCTTTCAGCAACTTACTCTTTGCCAAGCTACAAGGACCACAGAAGGTATAACTTCTGATTCTCATTTACTCTAGAAACAGTTTACCTACTGGTAAGAAGAAAGATAAACTGGAATAGATTGATTGTCAGTCTCTGTTTCGGCGAGGAGACGGACAAAACAAGCTGCATAATTATTCCTTGAATATCTCTGTAGATGGAAAGTGGTTTCGTTGTTGGTGAACTGTGCCCAATTCGGTAGCAGACTTATTCGAACATGTTCAGTCATATAGCTGCAAGCCATTCTTCTGATTTATGCGCCATGAGAAATACATGGTGAAGCAGTTTGTTGGCAAATCAAATTTCTCAAGCTGTTATTCGTAATGGACTGACATCAGTTGGAGGAGAATTGGAAACAGTGGAGCACTGAACAACTGTTTCGCCCCACTATGCGACTCTTCAGCACTGCAGTGGTGAAAACATCTCTAAATCCCCACAAACCCTCAAATTCAAATCAAATTCCAATAAACATCTGAAGTTTAGCGAACTAACATTACAAGTGGCACTTACGGGTATCTTGTAAGGTGAATAAGGATAGTACTTTTGCTGGGTATATTTGGCGGTTAGACAAATGCTTGAAGTTAGCCAGCAGAAAAACACCCTGCACATATATAAGCAGTCATCAGAAATGAATGTCTGCGGTCTTGATGACTTCAACCTGGATTACTCATTTCAACAGTAACAGACTTAACAATAATTGATCCTGTAGTTCTGAGTTATGTGCTGGCTAAAATCAGTCATCCAATGGGAACGTGTTTCAGCTTCAAGTCTTATGGATTGACTGAGGTCAATCAATCAAGCTCGCAAGCTTTGAAGCAAATTATCTGGTTTGTTTTTACATACAAAATAAAGAAACGTAATATCACAGCAACATTTAGTTACATTTGTTTAAAACGGATGAATTGTAATTACTATTGCTGATGACAAAATAGGTGAATCTTGAGTGAGAATATCCGTCGACAGATCTTCGTTAGTATACTACGATCAGCCAGTAGCGGTTCGAAGATCCTACTAAACAGGCACCACAAGACAGAACAAACGACCAAGATGAATAGATGTTTTATATATTGTCATTTGGACAAAAACTGATTGATTGCCATTTGACAGTTTGCGGTAGTAGAAGATACTTGACTGACTGGCTCATTTAACCACTGAATAATACATTCAGCTTCTGGCCGTCAAGTCAAGCACTGTTCAGTTGTAGCTCTTTTCTAAATTTAAAGGTTAAGTAGCCTTTATGGGTAGGAAGTGTGAGGAAAACCCAAATTTTGAATAACAACTTAATACAGTACTTCGTATATGAGTATAGTTAGAAGTGTCATTAGACTGCAGTCTTGGTAGCTTATTTGTCAGACTGCTGAATCGATAGTCAGGCGAACATGAAACTTAATCTAGCCGTGACTAAAACCTTCTCCTGACTACTCTTATCATTCAAATTAATTTCAAATCATCTGGTTTCTCAAAGTATCCTTCTTAACGATCAAACAAAACATGAATTTTCATACTTATATTCTCCTTTGTAAACTCGAATAAAGAAGGGACAATCATTGCAGCACAGTAGGACAAGGCAGAATATTGTATTCCGATCCAGTGGCTCAATGGTAACGTGCTCACCGCAAAATGTGGAAGTTCTTGGTTCGATCCTTGGGGTGTCTTTGAGTTACACTCTTGACGACCCCATACTAGAGCGAAACAGCTATTCGGTGTCCGCACGCTATCGATGATCTTCCAGCTGATGACATTTTATGGTAAATATCGCTCTGAACACTCAGGAATCTCGATTATGTGACTGACTTATGCTTACGTTGGGTGACAATTTAGGTCTAAAGGAAACTTATTCCATCAAAAGATTCACACTCAAAGAACACTGATTTTTAGTTCAGTCCTCACACAATTCAGTGAATTTTTGCATACAATATTATGAAAATTAATCAACAACTGAAAATAACACAAACGTTTTTACAGTTTTATTCTAACCGGAAGTAATATGATCCCGAAAAACTCGCAATGTAACCACGCAAACTTTACATGACTTCTGTTTAACTTTTTTTTTACTGTGCATGAAAATTACTTGTTTAATTTGCATTAGTTTTGAATAATTGAACATTTAGCTGTGCCACAGTTTAAGGTATTCAGAAAATCATCATTGAGAAATTGTGTACTTCGTACAACTTGGCGGCAATTTATTTTGACTTCTGTACTGGGTGAATAAGATGTGTCATCTAAAGGCTGATGAATGCTAACTGCCACAAGACAGGTGTACAGATGAACGTCCTGGAGATTATTTCCTGTTGTTCTACACTATATCAGTCAATCAGCCTGACACTGACCTTGTAGAGCATGGTGGACAGAAACTGGCCACCCCAAAGAGGATTTCAACACAATCAGATTGGTTATAGCCAATTACACAGCAGTCGTTTCACTCTTTCTCTAATCAGTATTGATTAAAATCCGAAGGTACTTTTATCCCTCATTTCACTCCACTTTAAATTGCAGGTTATCGTGCAGAATTTGAGGCTAAAGCTGAAGAACTACTGAACTGGTTGGATAACAGTGCTGAAATACTAGAACTGATTACAATGGATAAACGTCGTGCTCTGGAAGCTAGTGGACAAGCTAAGGCTTTAGGTCGACATGTTGTGTCTGCTCGTCCTCCTAATGAAGAAGATAATGGTGATGGTGGTGACGATGACGATGATGATGAGGATGCTGCAATCCGTGTGATTAATCGTGTAACTAATGAACTTGAAGATTGGCGAAATATTAAACAGCGTGTTCTACTGTTAGGCGAACAGTATCGTGATGAACTAGCACAAGGTAACACTGTGATTGTGTGAATTACTGACATTGTATTAAGACAAACTCAAAGTCCTTCTTGTTAAAAGTTCAACCAAAGTTACTGATATTCGCCTAAGATACTGAACGACATTCCTTCTAGGTCATTCACAAACCTTTCAACGGAATGCTTAGTTAACTTTCATCACTTGACTTGACCCATTGATTTTGATTGCTGTAAAAGAATTTAGCCATATGAGCATTAGTGTCTGTGTTGTGCATAAGTCCAAGCCATGAAAACACGCCAGTATGTCAGACTTATTTGCAATAGAAAAAGAAAGTTTTGAAAGAGTATTGATCGTTTCAAAGATATCCACACTGTAGTAATTGGGAAGTGCTGGAGAGATCACATTAATTATCCAACCATATGAATGCATCACTGCTGCTGGTTGATATACACAGAATTTACTGTTTTATGAGACAGACAGTACTTGAGCAAGACATTGGGATAATAACTGTCAGGTCACTTCGCAAAAGGAATTCCTTCATTTTTGCTTCACTACAACAATGTTTTAACGTTAGTGTTGACCAAGAAGGATAAATAGTAGATTGAGATAGATGAAAAAGTAGTTTTCCGCACCAAAACTGAATGGCTGTCAAAAGATACAACCGCTAGTTCATAACTGAATAAATCTGTCACTCATACACAAGTCGATATGATCAATTTATCATAATATGTGTAACTCCCATCGATGGAGGAAGACAGTAATAAACTAGAGATAAAAATTAAGTCAACCAAAGAATCAATATGGTTCGGCTTCTGACAACAATGTCTATACCGATTATTTCGCAAGTAGCTCATGTTTTTCTGTAGAATTCCTTGTCTGAGATCACTGATTGTGCGTGTGATTTATTCGCATACTGCATTTCACCTTCCACAGTTGATTGGTATGCATTCAGTTCTCGAGGTATTGTGCTCAAGTGGGGTTGCGACTGTTTATGCGGATTATTTAGATCCTTGTTAGGCGGAATATATCCTTTAATGAGTTTTGATACTTGTGTTCGAGGTTTCTTGTTTGTTACTTTCAGCAATATAAAGTGATCACAATGCGTGTAGACGCAGTCCAGTTGTTACACTGCCTAATCTGTTCAACTAATGACCACTGCTACTTCCTTTTTTTGAACTTTTCATTTATCAATAACAGCTGGGGAAAATATTGAGGAACTCGACCAGCTATTCGACGAAGTTGAAGAGAGATGGAGTTATCTTGACAAACTATTGATTGAAGCAAATCGTCAAGTGAGAATTACAAACCAGAGTGCTGAATTCCAACAAGAAGCCGCCAAAATACATGCATTATTGTCGCAGTCACAAGAGGATGCAGTGGAAATGGATGCAGGTGAGATGGGAGTGGATGAAGGAAACCGAATCGAACCTAAGTCACAGTTCAGTGAAATCAAATCTCAATCGAACAGTGAAGTGGACTCTGGTGATAAAAGTAAGTAGGTCTTCTGGCAGAATTTTTTTGTCCAATTGGCCTGCACTGTTTCCTCTCCATTTTTATTCCAACATTAAAAAAGTACTCTGAATTCCTGTCCTTTTATTGTAGTCAAATATATGACTATGGCAGCATTAATAGTATTTGGGATAACGATTCAAGTTGATAGAATATTCCATTGCGACTTTAACTAGGATCAGTGTTGCCACCTAGACATACTATCAACTATCAGGCATGTCGAAATATGGTTTCAGTGGCTACCAAGTGGTTATATGAACAAGAGATTGTAAATAGCCAACCAATGAACCACCTCTTCTCATCCTAATGCAAATTGGGCTAATATAGGTAGGGAAAACGAACCACTGGTTACTAATCACACCTTTTGGAGCAACCTTTGTCGGTGTACTGACGTAATGTGACTGAGGTTCACAGGAACGTTTATCGACTCAGCAGTAACCTGTTTATTATAAAAGAACCTATAAAATGTAAAATATGTCTTAATAAACCATTAATGAAGAAATAAACTTAAGTCGTCTTCACCCTCCTCCTCATAACATCCTAGACAAGGGATGAAGTCAAACCGTATTCGGAAGATCTCGCTAGCAGTTTCTATCAAGACAGCAAGATGGTTGAGCCACGCTCTAACTGTCCCATTATTTTGTGTGATGAAAAGAAGTTTCGAAATGATGATATCTGGTGCGACACTGAAAAGTTTGCCAAAATGTCTATTAAAGTTGAAGAACACAATAGGCTTTCAGGGGGCTGAGACACTATTTGCGTATTTCTAGTTACCTTTCACCCCTACTGCTGTGAATGGTCGAGCTCAAGAAGGGCATACTTCGCAAAGTATCTGTCTACTGCTTTGAGCCTTGTTCAGACTTGTAAACCTCCATCTCGATGATGGTTTAATAACAAGAACTTATGGTTGAAGACTTTAGGTGTTTTTTCAGAGTCGATCACAGTGCTGCACAGAAACCACACATTATTTTCAATTCAATCTTTATGCATCACATTTTGTTATTTGTTTCACTTCCCTCACTCTTATTGCTTCCTGGGATTTTGATCTTATTTTTCTACGTTTCTCTCTCTTTTACTTTATTGTCTTGTGTCTTAATGTGCTGACGTGAAGTGTAGCTATTTGCAAAGTCGTGCGGAAACTCTGGGTCGCATGTTGGCACTGAATGAGTAATCAAGTTAGTCTGCTATGCCATTGAATGTTTAACCAATAGGTCGAATGTACAACTGACTGGTATAAAAATCGATAAATAGTTCATTATAGTGCACTGTAGATCCCTTTCTGAATGCCTGAAGTGGGATGCGTTCGATTTCAGTCGATTAGCATCCATTTACTTGTAAAAATGGAACTAAACAGAAGTTATTTGTGTTGGACAGTCAATAAACCTCTCGTGTTCACAATAAGAAATCATTATTGTAATCTTCTGGGGCTAATAATCATATGTAATTGGAAATCAGTTGTTATTTTTGAATGCTGGGTTTGTGCTGTGCATTCATTAATTTACTGAAATCTATATCTCTACTCACATTACTAAATCTGAACTCCATTGGTGATCAGTTCCCCTACTTCAACTTAGTTAATGCTGGAACAAAGCACTGTTGATCAACTGATTAAGCTTTATGTGTATATTATAGTAATACAAGTTGACAGAAGTATCCCAAACAATTGACTGTCTGGTAGAATGTCAACAGTGACTTCTCTGTAGGTTGTGGCTGTACCCTGTTAGGGTGTCACAGTTAGTAAGGTCACACAGTTAGTGAAGAGTCTAACCAAATCAACATCTTATTACCATAAGTATAAGGCCGCAGTACTTGTGAAACAGTTTGTATTTTCGAAGTTGGTAATAATATGAAAAATTCGCCAGAGAATGAAACCATACATGAGCTTGGTTGGTAGGTGAGTGGAATATACTTTATTTGAATACATTGGAATTGGCACTTGAGTCAGCTACCGATCGAATCTGCAAAAATTCTTTTGCCATAAATTAAAAATTCAGTAAGAAAAATGACAGTCTCCGGATGATGTTCATTTACCACAGAGCAAGCTTTTTACCTTTCGTATCACAATGCCCCAGGCATATTTAAGGTCTTCGTTTGCTGAATAATACATGGCTTTCTTTGCATCTTAGCAGTTTTCAAATTTGAAAGTGAGAAAATCTGTGTTTATACACTTACTGGTCACTGCGTAGCGTGACCAGTCTCAGAAATTTCCTTGGTTAATTACTATATAGCAAAACGATGGATAGAAGTCAGTCATCACTTGAAGCTAGGCAACATGAAACTAGTTAGTCTACGATGATTATTTAATGTACATCATTTAGTCCAACTGAAAACCAGCTACCTTACTGGTAAAGTCTGACTTCAGTATCAAGTGATATGTCTTCTAATTACTGGGAGAACATTAGTTCAATTGAAGGTCACAGACGCACCCGACTAGCAAATACTAAAAAAACTCAAAAAGTAGGTCCATCTGGTCAGATACATTAAGTGACCAAAAAATTGCTTTTAACAGTTCTGTTTACTAACTGACTCAGTGAATTCTGACAACTACTGAATAACCTACTAGGGTTCTTGACTTTGTGAAAAAGCTACGTTTCCCGCAGAAATAACAATACGTTATTGGTTATTTCCGTAGCTGTTAGGGTGACCTTTAGAATTACCCGCTTTAATACAAAGTAGTTTTCAACTTTCCTTTCAAAACTGTATTCACTGCAAAGTTGTCGAGTAGCTCTAAAGGCCACCCTAACAACAACTGAAATGACCAGTGAAAATCTGCCTTTCCAACCGAAATAAGCAAACCCAATCGACTAATTCAGTCTTTACTAGGGTGGGCTTTAGAGTTGGTAAAACTATTTAAAGAGAGGATGGCCCTCCAGATGACCTTGAAACGACCAATCAAATTCCAGCCTAGTTTATTCGAGCCTCATTGGATTTAATACTATACTGTAAAATGTAGGTTTCATTCCTTGCTTTCTGACGGATTACTTTATTGCTGAACCCATACCATTCCGGTCTTGATTTGTTCATCTAATCTTAGGCCTGTTGATACCTTTAAACCAATTACATCTTATCAACTTCAGTTATTACCAACACACATTCTTTAAAAATCTATATATTCATATAGAGTGTATTATGATAAAGAGCCAATTAAATATAAATGTTTTTTGGATTTATTTTATTGTAATCCACGAACACTTTATTCTGCTAACTGAAGTATGCACGAATTTATAGCAGAGTAATTAGGCATAGAATATATGGAACTATAACTATTGGTTACTCTTGTTTACCGTAAAAATATTTGAATTAAGAAAGTTAGATTACTCTGTTTGTTGTGTTCTGCTGAATACATTACGTTCCTTACTGATTATTAATTCTGATAAGTACGAATCTATTTTAAAGTGATAATTAATCGATGACACTGAGTTAAATAATCTCTACTTCACTATATATATATATATATATATATATATATATATATATATATATATATATATATATATATATATATATATATATATATATATATATATATATATATATATATATATATATATATATATGAAAATCAATAACAGATAATTTTAGCCAAAGTAATTAAGCACCAAGGTTTACTTCATTCAGCTTAAACTTTAACTGAAGCCTTAGCATTACTTTATCATGGTGATACTAGCCAATCAATCCATAAATATGAATTTTTATACCACGTGATAATCGATGAAGTATGTGACCTACATTGTTAGATTATATTATACGTTGCTCATACGTCTAAATGAGAATCTCAGTATACAAATTAGATAGGTACTCACTAACTACTTTTATACATATTTATATAAAACAATAAGTCTCACAAGCTGGCGGTCATTCCGTGAAAGGGTAATTATTGAGTGAAATTTTGTTGACTTAGTTCATTTGGTGATAGTAGTAGTAATAATGTGAGTATCAGTAGTAGTGGTTGATGTTATTGTTGTAGAATTATTCAGAGATGAAGTAACCCACATTTTAGTCTTTTGTGTCAATATTTGTACTGTAGTGATAGAAAAACAAACAAATCAACTGGAAAAGTTTTAAAGAAGTTATTCGTTTAGTCTAAAACCGATTGTTGTAGAATAGAATTTATGCGTTTTATTGGGCTTGGCTGATGAACAAACATGAAGGCATCTAGATCAAAATGTTACAGATCACATACGAAGACACATTCGTTCAGTGACTTTTGTCTACACATTAAATGAATTTTAAAGGTCAAGATGAAATTGAGATGAGTTTACCCACACTGTATATTGTTAGCAAACATTAAAAGGGTTTGTTTGAGTATTCTAAAACAAGCAGATAAAGTTATCCGTGTCCTGAAATAAGCTGAGCGCTGAGTCAGGTTTAATCATTATATAAGCAAGTTTTCATATTTAACCCAGCCTATACTAACCATGGTGACTAGCAGAAGAACCTAGGTTGCGCGTTTGGTCCTAACCGGGACGCTTCAGCTGGATGTACCTCTACCCCAGTGAGTGATGTTGTGCTCACTGGGACTCGAACCTCGTACTCACCTCTCCAAACGCCAAATCGTTATTCAGTAGGTCATTCCTTGTACAACGAATATTAGTTATCAACATTTATTGGTATACCTGTAGTTTCCCGTTGTTATACTGGATCGAATTGTTCGGTCTCTGTTGGCATATGGGTTCCTGTGCAGATGCCTCGATATTGCCTGAATATTTATTACGGTAATTCCCTTGGCTGTGGCTAGTAGAGTAGTCCAGCAAGCGGGTTTCGTCCTATTTGGGGCTCGTCATCCGGACGTACCCTCGGCTCAGTGGGTGACTTTGTCCTCACTGGGACTCGAACCTCATGCCCATTGCTTCAAATTCCAAGGCGTTATTGACTAAGCCGCGAAGACACCTCTTGTACAATGCGTATTAGTTATCCGCATAGGATCCTATATACTAACAGAGGTTGAGCAATTCGATCCAGTAAAACAGTGGAGAATTACAAGCATAAAAACTATTAACAGCAGGTAGATCCACCTGACGAGTCCCAAATAGGACGAAATGTGCATCCTAGATTCCAGTGTTAGCCACTATCCACCACTACTATCAACAAATGGTTATATTAATTGATTCACAATGTTTGTTTACTTTTTGAAAGTTCAATTTGAAATTGTGACTTTTCTAGTGTTTTGTCAAATTAAAGCCTGTCAGATAGGTGACACATCTGTTCTTTCCTTTTTGTCTTGAACCTATTGTTGAGGTTAAAATATGCAGGACTTCTGAGGTCAATCTTTCTTTATGTGGATGAAAGCCCTTTCCTAATCTGTCAGCGTTTTCACAAACAATCTTGTGCCCGCTTTGAGTGCCAAACTTTTCAATTTCAATTCATTCTTTGATGGCTGTTTGCTACATAATCTATGTTGATTCACTCTAACTTCTAGCTGTCTACAACTTTCACCAATATAATTGGCCTCAAAGTCCGTACATTTTATCTTATACACAGTTGTTTTGTGTCACCTTTGGAATCACATCGTTCACTTTAACTAGGGCTTTCTCTAACCAGAACAGCTAATCAATGGAGTAAAGACAGAAATTCCTACGATAAATATTTTGGTTTGAAATAAAAACCCGAATATCCTGCTGAAGAAGCTGTGGGATACACAGCGAAACGTTCAGAAAAGTCTTTTTTTTTGATTTTCTAAACGTTGTTAAGCGACACACTGTCTTTCCAGTAAGAATAAGGTATAACTATTTTCAAGAAAGTTAAAGTTTATACCTTAGTTTAACACTATCTGTCCGCATGTCTTGCAGGTTACGAAAGAAAATCAGTATCAGAGACAAACTCACGCTTATTCGTTAAACTTGGTGCTGATAAATGACCTAACTGTTGTGATTAGATTCCAGCGGTTGTTACTAAGTACTCTGTAAATGAGCCCTGCTGATATAACTTAGAGGGGAAAGATGAGGTTGAGAAAGCAATCAACTGATGGAAATGTCAAGGTGGATGATGAAGTTTGCGAAGAATTCACAGTTTGTCAACTTAGGAATATTTATGATGACATCATCAGTGATTTGTATATTGTTAATCGATTTTATCAAGTATTGTCACCTGTATTCATGTGGAATAGGATATCAGCTGAAAGTCATCCACGCAGCACTGCTGGTTGGTATCCTGCAATTGATATGTCAAAGACTCTGGTAAACAGCGTCAGTCAGCAACTAACTGATTTTCATCAGTGTTGGTGAAGTATTTTGAGTATCAGAAGATTTTTCAGTGTAAATCACGTCTGTGTGAGTTGTATCACGGAATTTTTGCAAAATATTTACTACTTTATCAACTCAGCTGAACTCTTTTAACCTTTACAACAACTAGACTTAAACTACACAAAGATGGCATAAACAATGTCTCAGTCTCAAGAAATGAGGTGAAAAGAAGTGAAAGATAGTTTTTTTTTGTTCATTTCAAAGGCTTTTCTTTTTTTCCATCGATTCGTCAATTTCATATTGTATGAACCATCCTGTCACATGAACTACACCTATCCAGGCACACTGTTGATAACAGTATCGTGACAGATTACTTTGTTTGGCTGACAAGACGCAGAGCTGACACAATTTCAGCATTCCGCAACTTCTAGAACATTCAGCAGTAGTAATAGCTTGTTTAACGTCTGTAATATCTAACAGTGTGGCTTTTATTGATTTTTCACCCGTTTTCAGATATAAACCAAAGATTAGAAGATATTTGGATGTTTTTAAACCACGTAAAGGAAGCTATTTCACTGCCTATCAGTATTGGTCATCCTGAAGACGCGGATGAACAGCTTGGGAGCTTAAATGTAAGTCTGTAGGACATTTTTCCCAGCTCTGAAAGATGCATTTTCCAGGAGAAGTTAGTATCCAAAAACCTGTTAATGTTTAGAAATGCTAATATTGTTACACCACACTGTACACTGGAGTGGTCTGACCACTTGATCGGCCTCGTGATTCACTAATAATTCTAATTAATCTTAGAAAATTGGATCAGTATTGAATGGTGGGATAGTCTGGCTGTAGCACATCTGTTTTCTTTCCGTTAATGTTAAGTATGTAATGACGGTAGGACTACCAAGGCAGACAGATAGCAAGCACTATCAGACTGAGTAAAATCATGGAGTAAATAATTGATGAATCACCGATTGGTCACATGTTCCTAGAGGAAAATTACTCATGTGGATTGTTTCTTTCCAAACAAGTTTTCTGTTGATAACATTCCCCCATAGGATGGGTTATAGAAGTGTTTTATAGTGTGTTGAAGCTGCTCGGTTCGCTAAACGACCGCCAAATGTCAGTGTCATATAACTCCTTACCTCTTCCTAACATCGTCTGATACTTGATCGGTTAGCCAAAATAGTCCGTCCATTTATTAGTATAACGTGGTAAAGATGTTAAATTATTGATTCAACGCGGAAATTGTATCCTATGTAGGAATCTCATCGATAGTCTTGTAATGAGAAAAATTAATTTAGGAGTGTCAAACCATGTTTGCTAGTCTTTTTCTGGCCAAAACATTTCCTCATAGCTGATGTGAAACGTGATGGTGAAATCCTCGTCTACGCATTGTGTTCACAAGACTTATCGCGTCACTTTCAACTGAACCATCAAGTCAAGTCAGTCAGTATCTCAAAATAGCTTTGACCTTCTTCGAGGCTGTTGGTGAAATTTGCTGATGAGTGTTGTAAGGTGCGAAACTTAGGACTATATGTCCCAGATAGAAACATATGTTTTCATGAAGAGTGTACTGTTGCTTTTAATTGGTGTTTGTGATATCCACACTGCCCTTCCCTTCCTTAAAGGCTTAACTTTGATCGGAGAACGATAACGGTTACTATTTGTTTATCTTAGAGTGAAGTAAAGAAGTCACTATTGAGTTTTTCACAGGTCTTAATCCTGAGACAAGATATATTTAGAGAGTTTGTAGTATGAATCGGTTAACGATAATCTCAGTAAATAGAAATTTGAGTAGTAACTTTGCTGGCTACTGTTTGGATTTCAGTAGTCATTTCAGAAATCAACTAAATTTGAAGCCACTCTAGGGTGTGGACACTTTCATGTTCTTTATTGCTAAGCCCCGACTGAATTCTACCAATCACTTTATAACGTGGTGTATTCATCAGCTAGCACAGAACCTTGATCCAAGGCGTCCTGGTGACCACCTCCAGTGATCTAACAGTTACAATTGTTTGAAGACAATATGTGAACAAGAATAAATTAAGTTGAAGTCTTTCTGAGTTTAAATGTAGAGCTTGTACACCGTGGTCGAGTGTATATGTTTCTGGGATTAACTCTAGAAACATCGATTGATGTTAACTCATTCTCACTACATTTTATGGACTCAGAATCAATGAAAGGAGACTTAGTGATCAACCTCTCCCTCCACCTAATCACACTAGCTCATAGGAGTGATACTGAGTCCCAGCTTATTTTGTGTTGTTGGATGCAGAGTTATGGGTCTGTTGTTCTAGAACTAGCTAAGTTCCTATGTTTTGCTAACTTGATCCACTGCGATTGGCTACTTTGAGTTATGCACTTGATCTCACAGTCACTGCAGATATGACATGTGGTATTCTATCAGTAAACACCAGATTTGACATTCTGCTGACAACATGTTACTTATCAGGGAAAACTCACTGTTTACACTTATGAAAGAGACATAAACTCTTGTATTCTCATACCATCCCCAGATTTTTGTTCAGAATTCTATGTATTCACCAATGTTTAACGTCCATTATGTACCATTCTGTTAGTATTATTATTAATATTATTATTGTAAACTTTCGAACTTATGTTAGAAAATGGTGAAAGATTTTGAAGCGACAACAGAATTTCTTGTTAATTCGGAAATGAATTCATCTAGTCAACTGGAATCTGTCAGTTGGACTGGGAAACTGAAAGATCTCCGGGAACAGTATGAAAACATCGCTGTAGACTTGAATGCACGCGTTAATTTCCTTCAAGATCTATCAGAACAACATGAACTATTTTTGGTAAGTTGTCAAAATAAGAATTTGTAATTTAAAAAAAAATAAAACGTTGTCCTACGTAGACTGATCACTAGAGATCAGCCTATCTCTTGTTGGCTAGTACAAAGTACTAACCAAATTCTACTGACCAGTAAGCAATGTAGCCAACAAGCTGAGAGGTTCACCACTGTGATGAATTTTAGTTGGTTGGGAGCAATCATCAGGAAGCTCAGAACTCAGGTTTCGTATTTGTTGGTACTCGTCAGCAAGGCGTATATCTGCATCCTGGAGAAAACTTATGTTCCGCCTGTGATCCAAACTCGTGTCATGCTGCATTGTAGTCAGTGTCGTTACTACTAATACTACTACTACTACCACATACCATCTACTTGATGAAAGGGACATACTTCAGGGATTCGTCTCAGTTTTGAATAGGTAGACATGAATCTGTGAGACTGAACAGGTTGGGAATGAAAACCTTTTCATACTGATAGTTTAATTAAATGTCCTTGAAGTGTGGAAATACAAATGATCACATTTTAGCCAAGCAATTCTTTGTGGCCACGTTGACTATGAGACACAAAGATCGCCGTATAAGGTGATCGCTTTTTAGTTAAGGATTGCAACGGAAGGAAAAACTAACGTGCAATGCTGTCAAATTTCAAGTGGTTCATCCACTGACAGCAATTAATTCTGGAGAACTCTTGGGATTTCGGAATTTCTTCGCTCTTTCTCTATATATAATGCAATATAAACATTGGATTACAATAATAAACGTTGTAAATGACTATTTGAAAGACGAATATGTGGTGCGAATGACTGAAATATGACCGTTTATAGATAGCAGTTGCTGATATGTGTGATTAAACTTTGCAGATACTCGGGTAAGACTTAATTCCTTAGGAAAGTCACTCAGTGGTAGTGTTGTGTTTACGTCAAATTAAATGCTCAGTGGGAATTCAGATATCAGGGATTAAGCTAGTCAATAAACTGACTACTGAATGAAGAACTTAAGAGTTTCTAGGTAGCTATTTTTGGACAATAGGGAACCCTACCCAACACACAAATCTAAATTTGAGGATAACAAATATGTTAACCAGAAAAATTGCTTTTTAATGAACAAAGACTCATACCTGGCACAAAATGTGTTTTTGGTAATTATAGACTAGTAATTAATTAGTTAGGAAGATCAGTTTGTAAACAACATGTAACTGTTGAGAAATTGAACTAAAATTCAGGGGTCAACATTTTATAATTTCGACTATTGTATTGACGAAGTAGTAATGAAATTATTTTCCTACTAATCAAAGAGAAAGATGGTGTCCAGAAACTTTGATGCTTAGCATTATTCCCTCACATTTAGATGGGCCTCATTCATCGTCAAATGACTTAATTCACTCTGTTTGTTTGAATTGAATTTCCGCAGAAGAATGGCGGGTACTATGCTTTACCACAAAATTGTGCTTTTCTTGTTACTTTGCGAAAAGTACGGGATGTATTAGATCATAATGGAGCTATTCTTACAGTTGAACTACAGCATGAATAGGGTGATTTTGTCTTCTTAATTTTATCGTGGTTCTGTTGTAATGTAAACTGGTGGCATAAAAGTAATGACGGGATGAGATGAATACTTATTTTCGCGAGAATTTTATATTTGTCATCGTTGACCAACACAGTATTTATTTTGTAAACACTATTTCCTTTCACTTACCTTATTTTGCGATTATGTCGATGAAAAAAACCCAGTATCTTGAATCTTGTTCCATTAAGATAGGATGTTACAGGAAATAAATTGTATAGGATTAATCGGTGAGTAGTAATAAGGTTATTAGCCATCCACCGAGAGCGAATTCACCTTTCTTGCTAAAATCGTCACCAGAATCCTCCATATTTCAACGCGCTTATTTTTATCATAGATTCTAGATGCATTCAGCTGATTATCAGTCACCTGTAGCATCGTGTAATTCGGCACCACGGATGCAGTATATTTTTCAATCGGTAAGCCATCATTTGCTGTCAAAAATGTTTCCTGATGCAGAACATTCTGGGTAAAGAATTTAGCTACTTAATGAAATTCAGTAGCTAAAGGCTTTTACTGAAAATCTTACGAATGGAACAACCAAGCAGTGGGTAAATGGATTATAGATGAAATATATTTGTATTTGAGGTAGAAAAATAAATTTCTGACGTCTGGCAACTCCATGGGAGTCGCCTCTACAGGGAATCAAATATGCGCACATTATCGAATGTCCAAATAGTAAAATGCTCAATAGACATTCGATAAAGTGTACAAGTTCAATTCTTTGAAGTAGCGATTTCCACGTGGTCACCAGACGTCAGAAATTTTTTTCTATCTCATCGGAATTTTTCATGCATATTTCATTTATAAGCCATCTACCCGGTGCTCAACGTATTCAACTCTATCTGATCAGATTTTGATCCTGTAGTTTATAAAAGCCTTATATCACGGTGCATTAAAAGCCATCATATAATAGTGACCAGTTAAAAACCAGTTCGTTTTTTTCATTATTATTTATCCCTTGGATCCCTAGCAGAACATACGGCTTTAGTAGCACGTCTCTATTGCACTCTGTTCTCTGCAATCTTTTGAACCTGGCTCCACGACAACCCATAAGTTCTCATTTCTTTCTCACAGTTCATTTGTTTAATTATCTTTAACTAGTTTATTGATTTATTTTTGGTATAATTTCAACCTTAATATTATTACTATTATTATTACTGTTGAAAATAAGAACCAATTTGAAGGAATTGAAAAATGGCTTGCTGACATGACCGACTACTTGGATTCGGTATCACGTGCTCATCTGCCATCAGTACCAGTTATTCAAGCACAATTGCAAGAAAGTTGTGAAGCTCTGAATGACATGAAAACACTTAAACCAACTTTACAGAAAGTTGATGAAGTTGCACGAAAACTGCTGGAATACTTTAGTCCTGCCTATGCTGAAGTAAGTATGGAAATGTGAAGACAGAATACTTACTTGCAAATTTTTGAATTTTCTTAACTCATCGGAGTTTCCAGGGTTATAAAATGCTGGTAAAGCATTCTGGTTGTAGAACTTCTGAAGAAGATGGCTCAGTACTGATGACTAAAATTTGATCACAGTAAACCTTTTCGTCAGCTTGCTGACTGACTAACAAAATCAACTTAGTATTCCTTACACAGGTGAATTGGCTTAAGTTGCAACATAGCACAACAGAATATAAAGAACAAGTGGATAGGAAAAAGGTGATACTGAAGCATATAAAGTGGTGTGAGAGAAAGAAAAATCTGAAGATAATGGACGGTGCAAATATCCAAGCTTTGGAAGATATCAAGAAGTGAATAAATCTGCACCATCGTCATCAGTTTTCAGCCATGTCACTAAGAGTCATCAACCAAGAATTCCTGAGATCTCGGAGACCCCAAACAGGCGCTCCACACCTCCCCATATGCCTCAGACCAACAGTAAGAGACACCGTCGACTGATCTCACGGCTTCGTCTGGCCACCCTGAACCTGCTTCCAACTTAATCCACCTCTCCCTAGCCAACTATGGCTATCTGAAACAGTTTCATAAGTAGTAGCCTATACGACACTACATCTCGCTGATTCATCTCGATCTGAACTAAGACGCGAAGCCTTGAGTGATCAGCCCATGTGAATATGACGAAGGGTTAGTGGTGTGTCAAATATTTGTATAGAAGTCGGGTTAAACCTGCCATAACTATAATGCAGTTAAGATCCAGTCAGCGGTTGGATCTCCTAGTTTAGTTCATAGTGATCTAAGTGGTTAATACAGAAGTCACTGGTCAGAAGCCTTTTATAACCAGGGTTTGACTTCAATTTAAGTTACTATCTAGTATAGCAGCGTGGTTGTTAAATTACCGACTTGATTACAAAACAGAAGAATAACGAATTATGATTCTGAAAATGGATAAGCTGTGCAGGTGAAAAGAACTATGTCACTCAGAGATATCTCTTATCCAGTGTAAATGTAAAATAAGTAATGGTACTATGCTGAAGTACGTAGAATTTGAAAGATCTGTGGTTATAAAGAGCATCATAACATGTAACAGTCATCAATTATGGATAAATGCTTCTGTCTAAAGGTTTATAACATACTGGTGAATACTTTCAATTCTGGGCATGTCATTTCAATCCCGCCTAAATGAATGCTTTTTATTCACCATAGCTAACGAACAATCGTCTTCAATCGCTGCATGATGACTGGAATGAGGTGAAAACTCTAACCAAGTCAAACAGAGATCATTTAAAAGCCAAATTAGCTGAAGCCAACTGTTCATCTGCAACTGGTAGAAATCAAGAATTCAATGGGACAGTAGCAACAGCATCGAATCCACCGTCATCGTCAACAACGTCAGCTGATCAACATACGGCATGTAAAAATGACTCAACTGAACAAGCGAATACCAACAACAATCATACCAACGATAATATTACGTCGTCATCGCCTTCTACTCATGAGGTGACGGCGAACATCAACTCATTAGGAGTGTTATCGACTACGCCTATCATCACGACGCCAAATACTGTACACGTGGATATTGACGCACTAGAAGCCTGGATGCTTCAGTCAAAGGAAAGTCTATCTCATTTTGCAACTGTAAATGATCCAACAGATTTGAAGAAACTAGAAAATGCCATCAAGGTAGGTCATGAATACATACAATCATGATTTTTCAAATCAAATCCCTAACTAGTCTGGGTTATTATCCAGTATTTGTGTAATCAAGAAACAAAAAAGCTTACATCCTTAAGCACAATATGAATATTAAAGAGTGTCACTCAGTTCATTTGTAAAGGATTGAGTTGATCTATTTGACTTCTGAGGTGCTATAATATTCCTGTACCGGAAGTAGTTAGAAAAGAGCTCAACAGTGACCATAAAATTAAGCTACGAACGCACTTACCAGTAGAGAAGATCATGCTAGGCGTACAGCTACGCCTAACTTCTCCAATATTTAAGTTTCAGAATAAAATAAACAAACAAACAGAAGTAGTTGACATAGGATAACCAGTATCCCCAATCTTTGCAGACGTATTTATCAAGAGTTGGGCACGGTTGCGTGTCGAAATAATTAGTCCTGCTCCAAGGGTATGACTTCCATATGCAGACACATACATAGTTTCTTTACACACATAAGTTCAGTAGTCAACGCAATCCAGTTCACCTATCCTTGTGTTTGTTCATGTATTTTATTCTGAAATTTGAATATTGGAGAGGTTAGGTGTAGTTGTACTCCTACCATGATCTCCTCTGCTGGTAAATTCGTTCGCAGCGTAAGCTTATGGTCATTATTGAGCTCATTTCTAACTGCTTTTAGAGTCATGCCAAGGCTGGGATTAGACTTGAATTTTAATATACAGACTCATTGAGAAAATCCCTGTTGGTATAATGATCCTGTTGCTGCAATAAGGCGAAGGAATTTAGTTAACCGAATTTCCTGAAACAACATATAACTAAAATTTGTAACACAGGTGTTATTAGTAGTAATATTGATGTTAAAAATAATAGTGGTAATACTGCGAAGAGAGAATTCAAAATCCCTACAGTATCACCAGACAAAGAAGGTACCTCAGAGACATTTCGCAGAATTTCCAATAAGGCTGGCTGTGATTAGAGTGCCATTTAAATATACAAGCCCACTTAGAAATGAGCTTTGTAGGTCGAAAGATCCTACTGGTCCAATAAGGCAGAATAATTTAGTTTGCCAATTCCCTTGCAGTGATTGCGCGATCAAAGTAGTCTACTAGGTTCAATTCGGTCATGTGAGCACAAAAACCTAGCTAGATCAAAATCGGTATATACCTAGTAATATAAAGAATTTAGAAAAATGTTCGGTTATGGGTGTATTACACACAAGCACACCATAGGATGAGACAGGGTGACATTCTTTACAACTAACATAGCGGAGTGGAGGGAGAGAATGACAACTGAATCGTTGTTTATCGAATCAACACCAGATGCATGCGACTGGAACGACTTAGCACCTGTCCCGAATATATGGAAAGTCTTATTACACATGTCACAAAGGGGCGAGAAAATTAGGACTGTACAAAGAAATGTCTCAAAGTTGTGTGGTTAACTTGATCTGACTGTGACCAGCAAATTGTATCCGAAACCTAAAGCAGTAAATAATACTATTCCACTATGTGACACATCTAATAAACTGACTGAAATGAAGTTATATTCTACCACAGTGCACACGTTATACTCGCACATTCCATACTTGTCTGGAGCCAGAAATGTTTTATTCCTGTTGCAATTCAGAGGAAGCGAAAAAATCAACTAAAATTTAAGAAAATTCATTTATTTTTAGTTATCTTCAATCTATGCAATCGATGCTCTGCCAGGTTCTCAGCATTACCTCTTTTTTGTTCTTATTTCAGAAGAGTAAATTGAGAGACACAAGATTGATGTTATATACTGAGCATTTCTTGTTTCAAAATGCATTGAAATACTCCAATGTCTCCAGTGTCTGTGTAATTCTGCTTTAGTCTTTGATCAACACCGAATATCAACTATGGAGAGATAGCTAGTCCTACTGAAAACCAATACTTGTAGTGAAAGAAGAGAGATTCATATATCAGAAACAAAAATTGTGGTGTTTCTGTCTCTCAAGTATAAGATATTGGGTTAAACTCATAGTAGACTGGATTCTCGTTTTCAAAAACCGATTATTATTAAACTGTGAATAAGTGATAAAAAGTTTAGATGCACGTTAATGTGAAAAACAAGTGAGAGAAAGAGGTATGCTTTCCTAGTGGTTCAGTTCAACCTATGCCTTCTTCAACAGCGTCCCACATTCTAAGTCGGAAAAATTAGATCTCTCCATCTTAATAGTGTTCACTAGGCCACTAAGTTGACAGCATGAATTTTCAAATTTTTACACGTAATAATTTTTTATTCACGATATCGGTTCAATTTCATGAATAGGTGAAAATGAAATTCGTGGATGACATCGATTTTCTGAAAATTCTGGCGGAATGATACAGTATACATTCACCGTGGCACATTTCATGGCCTCCCAACACTTGAAAACTAGGTCTGCCTAGGGGGAAAATAGTTAATGAGATGATGACTACTCATCAGGTTCATCAGCAGGTCACCTTGGTTATCTTCCACACTGCCCATATCTATACTAAACCATGAACTATGATGTTTGCTTATAAAGCTCATCTCCTCATCATTCCATCCTTTATCTTTGACCTTTCTACTCCTCGATATGCTTCATGGGACTAGGTTTGACCAAGTGAATTGCGAAGAAATGATTCGTTTAAAAATGGCTTTTGCCTTAAAGTAGCAACTACTGAAAGTCGAGAAACAGTGGATAGCTATTTAGTTCTACTTGGAGACTGTTTAGCAGTGTGTACAGAAGACTTCAGATGGCATGGATTTTAGTGGTTCTGCAGAACCTGACTGCAGCTATCTTAATCGGTGCCACGATCATAATTTGAAGTAAACATCATTCACAACTCTAAATTCTGAATAATGATAATAATATATAAACTACTAAATGAGCTCACACACTTATTTGTGAATTGGCACCACTTGAATTATGAGTTCAGTGATTAAAAGTTTTTTTCCTGGCAGTTTTCCAAGAATCACTGCTTTCTTTTGATGACAAACTGTTTTAAAAGACAAATATTGCATGAATTAAATTTGTAGTGGAACCATTACTTGAAGTCTTATGTAATTCCATGATTCGTAACCCTCAGTGTTAATTGTTGCCAAAAGTAAACTTACAAAATAAGTCAAATAGAAGAACTTCTGATATAGTCGAATTTTACTTCGACAGGAGCATTATTTTGAAGTCAGTGTTCAAAAAACTAGATTATGGATCTGTTCAAAAAAGGATTTATTCACAGTAAATAACACCTGAGTTGATGAAGAGCTTTGATGTCTGTCAGCCAAGTCAGTCAGCTTGTCTCAGCCAAAAAGAAAAGAGAATTTCTTGAGAAACATCTATTGTGGGTTATCTATTTTACGAATTGGCATCGAAGTCATTATTTTTTAGCGGCTGAAACAATTCAACAGTAATCTTGTCTCAGTTTGAAGCCATGAAGGCTACTCTACTGACCTTTCCATTCACTAATGTTCGTCACTCTGTAGATTCAACGGCTTCATTAACTTACCTTTATGTTAATTTCAATTCAATAATGATTACTTTTCGTTCAAATCTTCAATTGTATTGCTGGTTAAAGTCTCCTACTGGAACTTCAGACAATTCCCTATTCACATTATTACCAGTCTTTTGGGTATCTTACATTCTGAAATAATATTACTTACTGTATAACATTTCGATGACAATTTAATGTCGGCAGCTTTGAGAAACTGCTCAAGTTTTACGTTTATTTATTATTTATCCTCTTTCAATTCACCAACAACTGAGCGTAGATTGTTGTTTTAGTTGTTACTCTTAAGGAATTGAGTGGTTTTAACTGAGAACTAATATCTTTTCAGAAGTGAATAAGAAAAATAACTCATTTTAGGCGTCTTTGTAGCTTTTCTTCCTTATGAGAAAGAACTCTGATGTTATGGCTAGCTGAGACTGAGAATAAGTAGCCTTTATGTTCCATCTTACTTCTTGCATCCCGTTCTTCCTTGAAATAGTGTATATATGTATATGTGACATTACGTTCGTCAGCTGTACAATGCATCTTAAAGCTGTGATAGCTATGTGATAGTTTTGGAAATAAAATGCTTTTGATTTCACTTGATAAAGTATGTGACTGACACATGTCTATTTCAGATCAACTAACTATGATATCCGTGTTTAACGGTTTATGAAGACGGTAACCAAAGTTAAATGAGGGAAATTCTGATCTCGATGGAGGTTATACATATCATTGAGTATCAGTCAGGGAAGTATCATGACAGTGCCTGAAGTTCTTAATTTTCATAGTTCACTTAACTGTCGAATACTGATTGTCTTCAAGTCCCAACTAAATATAGAGGGCGCCGACTGCTGGGGCAACTGAAAAAGTATATGTTCTCTTTATTTATCGCGAAAGTAGCTACCTTGAGTAGACTGACGTATTCTCTGAGTTGCTTAGGTCCTCATTCAAAGTAACAAATTGTAAATATACATGTACAGCCTAGTTGCTTCACTTCCTTGTGAAGCTTTCACTCCCTATTGATGATGATGTCTAGCCTGGTATTGAAACGTATACTAGCCAAAACCCTAGATCAAGGAAGAAATAACTTTGAGTAACCACATGTAGAAACTATCGTTTATGCAAAAAGATGAAATCAAGGTAATATTGCTAAAAACAATTAGTTATCAGACAAAAAGACACCCAATATTGCAAAGGGTTGACGCCTCTTCCCCGAGTCATCAAGAGAAAAAAGAGTAACAGTTTAAATACTCTGAAAATTCTTTTGCATTCATGTTTACTTTCTTGATAGTCGCTCATTTGAAGGTAAATAAAGCTGTGTCAACGTGAAATTAAAGGTTATCTGCCATCCATGTAAGGTATTTTATCACTGAATGCAGTAATCTTTTTGAATTGAACAATTACAGCAACTTTCATAAATGATATTATCCGTTTTTCTTACTTTTCTAGTTGATTGGTGACAAAATCACTGAGAATCGACCAGTTTTGGCTGCAATCGATACGTGTCATGCAGTCAACCTGGCAGGTCAATCGATTCTGGATACAGATGCCTTGTTAACGAAAGCACATTTTGCTGATTTAGAGTCTGCTGTAGCAGCTGAAAGAGAACGACTAATGGCGGCAGTGTATCATTTAGATGATTTTAAAAGTATGATTTCTATACTACTGTCACAACCTACTTTTTTCTTAAACTCGCATTACTACATTTACCTCACCTGGAGAAGCGGTCTCGCTAATATACGACTGGATGAGTAGTTTAATATAAGCATCATTTTTTACATCAGTCTGTTTGATTGATCACTGAACAGTTAAGAGTACTTCTGTAGTATCTACAACCGCTTTCATTGGGTGCATTTTGAAAGGCTGTTCATTGGGGGAAAGAATGAACCGAAGACGTTTACCAAGTCACATGTACATGCCGAAGCAAATACATTTCCCAAACAGAAAGAAGGGGTTTTGATCACGTGTTTGGGGATATTCCAAGAAATTTGTAGCTGAGAGTTAGAAGAGTTTTCAACAGCGCTATCACTAATCACCTGATTCATAGTCGACATGAAGTCGATATTCAGAAATTGTTAAAAATGACTAATCAACAGATGAATTCGAAATTGTTGCATTTTGCCGAAGCATTAGCCATTAAACAATTCCAACTGAACTTATGTGCTCAGAAAGAAACAGTTATCAGTGTATGTCTAACATGCTAAAGACTTTTGTTTCGTTGACAATCATCGTGCATTCAAAAAAAATTGAATTTTTTTTCGTTCTGAATCTCATTCCACACCTTTTATTCTTCGTATTTCCACTAAATATTGTCTTTTCTTTTTCTCCGAAAACTCATCAATCGATCGTTATCACTTTCGATCTTCCTATATATACTACTGATATGCACTCCTATTTTGGTGGGTGCTACTGACAAGAATGGAAATAAGTAGTATATATTAAGAGGTCGACAGAAACCATAGACAATGATGGGTAAATATTCTGCTCATAAGAACGTAAGGGATAACCTGGATGTATTAAGATCAAGTCGAGATGGAGGAAGAAGAAGAAATGAAAAATATTGTGCAAATGACCATTTTAATGGAAAGTGTACAATATTTCAACAGTACTGTACAAGATGTCATAATACACATTCTATCCTGCATCCCAGTCTTGTCATTTCTTACACTGTGAGTAGTTCTCACTATACAGGGAGAGGTCACAAGTCCTGTAGTATACTGCCACTTTTGTATCACCAGCGCATACTTAGTGTTATTGAAGATTATTAAAAGAATGATTTATGTTAAGAAATACACTACTTAACATATGGAAGTTTCTAAGCCCATCGGAACGTTTTTTGATCATAAATGACAATGGAAGCTTTTGTACTTACTATGTCAGTGGCATTGAGCAAATGAGGCAATGAAGAGAATTAGGAATGAAGAAAATAATCCGGTTTATTGATAACTTTGCCCTGAAACCACCTAACGATTGCGACCTAGTTCACGTAACCTCCTTGCTGTAAACACCCTTCAGAAAACTCAATTTACCTTTTGTTGAAACTTTTGTCAATGGTCAACGTCATGACTTTTGTAGCCACATTAATTATTACTCAACTTTACTGTCTACAGTCAGTCAGATAGGCACTTTAACCCACTTCAACAAGTAATGAATGAATGTAAATGACTGTAAATTTCTGTCACATTACTGAAGTATTTCAAATATCTTTAACAATATCTCTTCATTTTATGATTTTGATGTAAACACCTCGAATGAATGACCTGTAAATCCCAGTACGGCTCTGTTTTTCAATTCTGTACAGTGTATTAACCGTAGATATTTAATTTTAGATCATTACCGAATTTGTTTGTGATGCATACAAATAACTGACTTCCCGAGGTAATCAACAAATCTAACCTGCTCTATGAGAATGGAATGATATGCTGGACACATATTCTTTCATTGAGTATCTACTGAAAGCGTTATTAGATAATTACAGGCTAGATTTAGTACGTTTTTGCTACACTGGTTGTTTCAAGAGGTCACTTTAATCACCATCCTAACCAAAGCGCAGTAATATTTAAAAAGCACCTGGAATAAGTGCAGATGTGGTGATGAGACTTTCTGGGAAGAAAGTATCTTTCCTGTCAAAATAATGGCATTTAATTTGTCATTTTTGTTTGGGAGTACAGCTCATGCTTGGCATGACTCACTAAATAATTTGAGAACATTTATTGCCAGGGAATGCACAATGGACCACTTTCCACTCAGCCTGAGATATTGTGGAAAAATTGTTCCTTGAATGAATGGAGTAGTTGATTAACTGAAACACAGTAGTTCAAAACTAGGTTGCAGATCTCACATCTATACATGTTTTTATGAGGAAAGGAAAAAAATTACTAAAAATAATCCATTGAAACAAATGAAAGATATCGCAACTATATTAGTTGGATGCTGAAGACTGCTAACAAGCACAAAACGTGGGTGTAGGGTTTCCTCCCGACAAATGTGATGACGAGTCTTCTAGCTTGATAGCCACACAGCAAAAATGACTGATGGAATCTGATTAGCAATCAGGACTAGACAACAGTAAATTGTGTACTCTACAATGACCAGTCAGTGTGCATTATAAATATGTAAAGTTTACTTTGTCGGTTTGTGTCTGAGGTCACTCATAGTCAAACACACAAACTTTTAAAGCAACTGGTCCCTTTGATAAATTTAAACAGCGTAATGAGAAGACGAAGATTATCTGAAACATGTGATGTATTAGCGCTATACATTTCGAACAATCTGATCACACATGGACTTGTCGAACTATTTATATGAAAATTTACGAAAAGGTCAATGAAGTTAGTGGGAAACATAGGAATAGGAAGGGATAGAAAAGGAAAACCTTATTCTTGGTATGAAAATTAAAATCAATACTACCAAGGTAGATTCAACGTGAGTACAAATTGTTTTTGTATACATAAAGGGGGTTTAAATTTACGGATGGCAAGAGCTTCAATAAATTTAAGCACTCTGCTCTGACCACTTTTATGTAGTACTTTAAAGGCTGTTTTCATGTCTTTTTATTGACATCATTACAACCACAGAAATAAATCCTACTCAAGACTTTGTTATTGTGCTCGTTTTACATGTTGATAAACATTGATCAAATAGTAAGATCAAAGTCATCAACCTGAATGTCACATAAAAAATACATTATTTTGCAACAGTCAGTTGTTATTATGTAAGAGCTGATAGAATTCAGGAACACTGCAACAGCTTCTAAAACAGTAAATAACCCTAGCGTTCTTCGCCATGGTAACTAACTGCTGAATGAACTGTATTTATCTGCTGACTGAAGAAGCGAAATTCCTCTAAGTGAAAGACGTTGTTTACGTTCATTAAAGAGAGAGAAAAAATTTCCATCGAAGGCGATTACTTTCACAGATTATATTCGATCAGTAACCTGAAGGTGTGAAAGTCATATAAAAATGCGGAGCTTTACAAGGAATATTTGACATTGGATGTATAAAAATCAGGTTTTGTTAGAAAACATCTTTCTTTAAACTTCATGCTTTTAATGCAAACCTATATGATAGCAGTGAGATTTCAAGAATAATCTTTGGTAGTAGTTACATTTCTGATCTGCAGAAAAGACGAATAGGAACTATAAACTTGAAAGAAAACAAAGTTTTGAATCAACAGCCTGACCAAAGAAAAACTGAAGCTTGAAGAGTTGTTGGTAGAAAGGGTAGCATCAAGATGGGTGCTGAGTATTTTTTTCTAAAAGTCTAAAATATGGCACAATAACAAACGACAGTAAAAGTGTCGACATGAACTGCTGCTACGGGAAAGAAGTTTAAAACACACAGTATTCTTGTTTTGTGTGTTACGTAAGCATGCCTTATTCTCTCATGGCATTCAGAAATATATACACCTATGAATTGTCCCGCTTTATTATTAGTTTCTTTATATTTGGTTTTTCTACAAATGTTACTTCAATTAAACAAAGTCAAAAGTACAACTAGAATGTCATATCACAGATTAAATTAATTTCATTACATTCTTTTTATTAAACTTCAGTGGATATTGAAGCGACAAAATAATCTTAGGAGTAATTTGCAAGCTAGAATTGAATTCGTTCATATATTTTTTAAAATTGTCAATTATTCCCATATTTATTTTTATAGCCTTGTTAAACAGTGAAAAACGATGGTTTGAAACAGTCCGTATAGTTAATGAACGAGTTAAAAGTAGCAATTATGTTGATCTCAATGAGATTACGGATGATTTGGAGGTGAGTTGGACTTTTTTCACTAACCTATGAAATATATAAGGACCGAACCTTGAAATTTACGTTTACAGTCCTCTGTCATTAGCGAAAGAAATCAGAGGCGTAATCGAAAGAGTGAAAATATAGTGGGCATGAATACTGTGGGTATTACGGTGGCCTAGTGATAAGGATTGGAGAAGAGGTGCATTCCTCTAACTAATGGATAATCTGATGGAGTTATAAAGTGCGACTGTTGTTTGCATGATTTCCACGTTCGTTTTCAACAGCTTACAGTTAGACAGAAAGATTTATGAGTTGCATGAAGTCATATAGTGTTAAGTGTTGTAAGTCAATCACCAAGAGACCCTGTTTAGTACTTACCAGTAAGGTATGTCTAAAATGATGAGGAAACTATCGTCCTGTCGGAGATTTCAAGCCAGTTGTGAGATTAAAGTCTCCGTTGGAAAGCCATTCAGTCCATGAATGCTTCTTTGTAGAACTGTAATGTTCAGTGGTAGGTATCCCGTGTGGTTGGTTTAGTTCTTAATGCTCAGCACTCTGGCCACAACATTTCGGTGTTAGGTGCTAAAAGCCAATAAACACTTAGTAACAGAAGAACTTCTCCAATTCTTTTTATTACACAAGGTCAAGCGAATTTTTTATTTAGCCAGTGATATGACTGTTACTGAGTGTCCTTACTTTTCGATATCAATCACAGTGTATTTTAAGTATCAAAACTCTATTTACCCAGGCAGCTGTATTACGCTTCCACTAACTAGGGTAATCTGTTTTTCAATTTATTGTTTCTCTAAATCTTTTTGTCAATTAAGCAATCCCATCTCCATTTTTCCAATTTCTAGGCAATTGATAGACTGTCACGAGAGCACACAATTGATGATGAGGAACGCCTAAACAAATTGGCTAGTTCTCTAAACGAATCACGTGTTATGGGTACTGTAATTCTGAAGGAATTGGAAAAGTACAAGACAGAATTGACATTAGTTAAATTTGAGGTAAGCACTCTTCTACAGTCTCAATATTCAGTATTTTTTAAAACCCTTACAACTAAGCTGGATACACAATGGATGTGTGATAGTGTCCATGTGTAGAATCCACTATTGGCATTTCGTTCTGCTGGGTACTGGTCGGTCTCTGTAATTGAGACTGCAATTTAGTGGTCATCGTTTTCATTCCCATCAATCACTGCACAACAGAGATATGGGTACAGTCAATATTGAGAATAAGAACTTAAAGAATGATTTTGCTTTTTTTCAACGTTTTGCTTTCAACAAGCAATTCTTTGAGAGCCTTGATATCTCGGGCGAGAGGTGTTTATGACAATTTTAAAATTTTCTTTTTATCAGCAGCTACAAATACCTGTGGTGTTGTTTATCGACGCTTTACTGAGTTGAATCGCTTGATCTATGTTGGCTGCTATGCAGAGGCCCCTATTCTGCCCGGATACTTATTATATTGTAGTGACCCAGCGGATAACGCCTTGGCGTTCGAAGCTGCGGTTAGTGCGTTAAAGTCTCAGTTAGAAAGACACCACTCACTAGGGTGCAGGTATATCCAGCTGACGAGTTCCTGGCAGGACAAAAGTCGCGTATTAGATTCCACTGTTAGTCACCAAGTAGATAAAGTCTGTGGTGCTAATTGTAGGTTCAACAGTGCGAAAGGATTTTAATCAAACTAGTTTTTCCGCCGAGTTGAGGAGTCATCATGCAGGCCTTTTATTATTAACGTGAACAACTGTGTAAGCACGATAACACAGAAATCTGGTGTAACTAGGAAAGTCATACTAGCAAGTCTAGTCACCTTAGTGCAGATGGTAAATTAGATCTAGGGTTTCCGCGTTCTTCGTCTTGACAGAAAGAAGAACGTTATTAGTTTGTTGACAAGTATTTATCTATCTGATTTCAAGCTAATTATTCAAGGTATATTAAGTATAGTTGACACTAAATTAATTTCCAAAGGAAGATGCACTTGTAAAACCCAGTCTTAGTTTTGCAGGAATAAGGACAGTAGACCAATGATCTGTATTAATCTTTACGATGGACAGTATTGAAGAGATTCAATCTTTGAAAGTATTTCAGTGGACAGTATCAGTGGTTCCCATCTCTGCACGAGAAACGTACTTCTAAACAGGACGATTTGATTGTGGCTTATGAGCTTTTCAATGATAACCCCCAACATAAATAAATAAGTTAGAATGCAGATCATTATACAAAACACGATGCGTTAAAGTGGGTCACCTAATCGATCCAGTCTTTTTTCTTAGGAAAAGCTGGTGAACCCTTTCATCATCTTGATGCCTGCTCTGTAAATCAGGTCTGATATGCCAGCTTCATATTTGAAACTTGGACTCACTGTTTGACTTTGATACTCCATATGCAGCGTCACATATGTTGGGTGTAAAATAAGAAACATGCTCTCGTCAAAACTCTATAAGGTCTTCCATAAGAGTCTAAATCGTTTAACAACTACTAGTCTACAGTTAGCTGATGTTCTGAGGTTATGATTGCCTACATTATTTAAATCTTTGTATTCGCCCTACTTTTCATATTGGCATGTCCCCAATCAAGTGACTAGAGGTGCTAATTTCCAGCCCCTTACTCAATCGTTAGTATTTTCAAGTATACTTAGGGTAATTTGGTATTTTAAAACAAAATCAAAAGAATGAGTAGAAAGCAAGACTTCTGAGGACCTACAAGACCGTTCAGTATGAATTTTACTGAGTATTAGAAAGGTAATAAACCCTTACATCAAGGAGGTTCCTATTAGCGGTATCGTAATTCTACATTCGAAATGAATTGTCTTTAGATTTCTTTAGCTTCTTATGGTTCTAGTTTTTCCATTTTGAACCTCGCGTGATCAGAGTAATCATTCAACTTCCAAACTTCTCTTTTATCATCCAAAAGTTCTTATTCTTTTATTGTTTGCTTTTACCAACGACATTGGAACACATATTACTTATATGGATTTTTATAAACAGTACACACCATAAAAAACTGTAGGTTTATCTGTTAAGTATCATATGTTTTCTGCAGTATAAACGATAGTCTTGCTAGAAAGAAAATGTTGTATAGACTTGATCTGATAATAAAAGTACCATGCAGATTTTAAATCACATTCTGTAACTCATTGACAGTAGGTACACTGTGTTCCACATAGGAACAAGCTGTAAACGTTCAGAGTTGATATCAAGTTACTTACCATTCGACCACCGGGATTTTCTCAGCTTCAATTGGCCTACGTTATGAACAGGCCAACAATTCAACGTCATCGACAGGGGCTGACTTCACTTCTTATTCACTTGCCCCCCAAGTTCGTGGTTTCTTATTCGAAATCCATTCGAAGCCAGTAATTAGTGTGTAGTAACTTGTCCTCTCGTGAAAAATATGTGAATGTATGGTTAACAGTTTGTCAGGAAGCTTCAGGTTTGGTGTTTTATTGATATAGGCGACCAGTGAAAAGCCTTGAACTCAGGTTTTAAGTTAATTGCTACCCATAGCTAAGGCATATTTGCAACTCTGAAGAATAATGGTTCCCCATAGGAGGTTTGAACTTTAGTGAAGGACCTCCGAGCAGTCAACAGTACACAATCAACAGCGAAGGCAATGCAGATTTCATCATGCTGTCTGGGTTGAAAATCACAATGGAAAGCCTGATCATTAGGCATCAGACACTATTTAGAATTTGACCGTTCAGTGCCAGCCACATTTCAGCCAGGAATTATTGTATAAACTGTGTAAAATTCCACTCAAGCCTTCTATTCAATTCATTTGTGGAAAATTTATACACGTTACCCACTGACAAATGATGTCGCCGGACGAGTTGAAATTGTCATCTAATGTATAGTTCATCTCAATCCAAATGAATGAAGTTGACGATCACTTAGAATGATGTTTGACTTGCTGAACAACCTATTAATGTATGCCACATATTTTACAAGGAGTACGTATTTGTCGGCTGTGTATCTTTAAACATCTGTGTACCGATAAATTCATTTTTTCATATTGATATCAAAATCTTTATGTAAAATTGGGATCATTTTAAAAAGTGCTACAACTTCAGCAAGACTGTATAATCAAAAAACCAAAAGTTTTCAAACCACTGTTATAGAAAAACTATCTATTAGCTGATCGATCGGTTGCCTAATTGTCAATTGTTTGCAGTGTAATACAGAATAAAAAGCATATTAATCAGAAAACCTGTACTCAGTGAGTAATTCATAAATCAAGTAAGTTGATGGATAACCTTTTCATTTTGAAATGATAAAGAAATATATATTTTTTCATCAATTTTACATAGATCAATTCAACAACAGCCTATCTAAAAAGTCTTGTCAATCAACTACGTACAATTGAAGAACGTGTTGCAGAAATTGACAGTAGTCTATTGAACATTGAAAATGACTTTGAAAATTGTCTGAACAATGAACACTTTGATAGTGATATGCTTGTATTAGCCGATAAATGGAAAGCGCATATAAAAAGTACAAATAATCTAATTAGAGAATTGGACGAGAATATTAAATATAAATCCTTGGAGCCTGGTAATGATTGCTTAATTAATCGATTGAAAGTGTATAAATCCCAGCTTCAGGTAAGTTTAATTATTAGAACCACCAACAGTTTAACATTTTTAAATGTTTTATAGAAATATAGTTTCAAACACATCCAGTGGATAAATAACACATGAAAGCTAAATTTTAATGAAAATAACAGTTCACAAGAAGATATTTAGGTTAATTTAGTTTCCCACTGCAGAACTAGCTGGCTGTTTCTGTAGATTGGCTGGCTTAACTGCAAATTGCAACCATCTTTTGACTAGTCCTCACTGAGTGCAGTCAGGTTTGACAACTAGCATATGAAGTGAGCAAGAAACACTTTGCATTGTGTTGAACAACTTTAACTAGAATCGTAAAAATCAATACAGTTAGAAGTAACAGCCATGCATATTGGTTTAGTGAGTCCATTAGTCGAATAAATCTCACGATCATGAGTTAGAGGCTACCAACCTATGATCGCTTCACAGCGATACCTCACCTTTAAACGAAATAACCACTATTGTAATTGTTCATCAGTGACAGATTCGATAAAAAAGGCTGGCTTCAATCTTAGTGCATGCAGTTTCTTCAACGTTGCAGATGGAGACTATTTGTTATGGATGACTATCCAATTGGATAATACCACTATACATTGGCTGGTTAGTAAATGAATGAGCAGTTAGCTATTACTCTGAGTTCCTTTTAGATAATAATGAGCCGTCCCAATGAGTGTTGAAAGTTGAAAATAAACAGTGAAACTATTACAAAGACTTTCAGTAATAGAACGACCTATCTATCGTCAATACAACCCTCTCTCAATTTCTAGTACTTTTTTGTTGCACTTCCTATGGAATGCTTAGAGACAAGCCTTTTCTTCTACTAGACATATCAGGTGTTTAACATAAGACTATTTTTCAAAATAATCTTGTGTTGTAGGAATATTTTGAAAACTTTCTTTATGTGTAGGTGGTGCTAATAAATTCGATGCCTCATATCTGCATAGCTAGTTAAGTAATAGACGACCAAAAGTAATCTGCTACGAAGGCGCTCATGGACGCCCACGGGATGGAACGAAGAAAAGTCAAGTATTGTGATGAGACCGTCACTACACTCTGTGATTGAAGGGTGACACAGTCGTTGAGATGCCTTATGGTTATAGACAGTCTAGTCGATTGGTGGGATTGTGAATCTTAGTTGACTGAGATGGGTCGTAAAGTAATGCGCACACCAAGCCCATGCTTACCTCGATGTGCCATGCTGGTTGGTAGGTTAGAAGAGGGTTCAGGGTGGCTAGATCAAGATGTGGCACCAGTCGATGAAGTCTCTGACTGTTGGTCTGAGTTGTGTTGGGAGATGTAGATTGTCTAGTTCCGTTCTCCGAGATGAAAGGAGTCAGTCGTCGAGGATTCTTGGCGACATGGCTAAAAATCGGTCACAGTGGCGTAGATGCATCCACTCCATGACATCTAAAGCTTGAATATTCACACTAATGTTTATCTTGAGATTGTCTATTGTCGATTGTGATACCACTCCTTTTCTATTCACCTGTTCACTGTGTGCTGTTGTAGTGCGTCGACTTGAACTGATGCACTTACGTGTGTAGTTCTACATTGATTGTGTGTTCCCGTCTATCTATCTTACGGTTATAAGCTAAGTGCCTTATAAGATCGTGACTCCATAAAAGAGTCCAAAACTCTTCAATGGAAAACATAATGCGTTTTAACTAGCATATTAAAGGAAAGAAGCAAAGTAAAACACTACTTGCAAGTGAACTTTTTTCAAGTTGATATATTTACGACTAATAAGCTGAATGACGATGAATGAAATAGGCTGACTTAAGTGTTTTTAGTATAAAAAAACCTGTGAGATAACACGAGTATATACAGAATTCATTCAGAATAGATTCTCGCCCACACAAGCAGTCTTAAAAACACTGTTTATCTTTATTTGCTTTTCCCTCCCAATCAAACTATCAAAATACTGATTTGCATGGATTGAAACATTCAAATCCTTCGTATAATTAGTTCCCTTCACAAATTTTAGCTAAGAAACGACGACAAATTTCGCGGAACGCAACGAATTCATAGTATTTTGTCACCATATGCTTGTCGGCTCTAAAATGTACAGAACATGCATCGATAAATACGAAGTAGAACGACCAGTTTGCAAATGATTCACAAATTACACCGTCCATTTTGACATTTGTCACAGCTGAGCAGTCTTCTCCAGCTGCGAAACTTTGGTGTCAAAAGAGTTCTCGCTTGAAACCAGTGTTTAGATCACTCTGATCTGGCTAGCGAAATACTGCAAATAGTACTAGGTACATACTTTTTTTGACAGAACACTAAGTGACATGACCGAAATCACTTCAAAACATATTACCCAGACGCTATCACTTGACGACAACCTTCAGTTATCTGAATATCACTGCATCTGTTACGCTTTATCCCCACCTGTGAGCCACTAACAGAAGTGAATGCAAAAGGAGTTATTTACAGCCCTTTCCTTTCCTTCATTGATGGACAAAACATATATCTTCATGGCACAGAGGAAGACACCCTATTTACATGGAAAAATATGAAAGAGGTGGTATAGGTTGAAAAGTCAGAACCCAATAAATTACTAAGCAAATTCAAAATAATACCACATTTATGTTTGTCAAATTGGAAAACGCGATAAGAAAAATTGCTTAAGCGCGTATGACAAGTTATTAGCATGTAAACCAGGCTAACGTGTAAATTAGCTTAGGGTGAAGTAGTAAACTAGTGGAGATATACAAGAAGTTGGTTGCATGATTAGTTGTAAAAGCCGACGAAAATGAAAAGATACCCTGAGGGGTTAATACTGAAATACAATGAATTCATCTTTTTCAGCGAAATTTGTTTTTCTTGCTCTACTAAAATTTAAAACTTTTTTGAAAACCAATGCCTCATAAACCATTCCCCCCTCCTCATCCATAATTCACTCTCTTATTTATCTTCAAAAATCTTGTATACTGAAGGAACGTGTTGAACCTCTAAGTAAACTTATGTCTCAATTATCCAGTTCCTCTGATCATCAAACATGTGTCGACAAGTTGTGCACGGAATTGAAGCAGATTGAAAGTAAAATCTATACATTAGACGTCATTTCTGTGGATCCTGAAGATATTAAAGCAGCAGTCAACAGTGGACGAGTGAGTTACATTATTGTATAACGTATGAGTTTAACAGGTCAGTGATAATTTTTTGATGCATGATGGGATATATGGATTCATTAGCTGGATGATAGCATCTCTTCCTTGTGAATAGACATAAGCTTCCCCTAGGCTGTAGACACACTTCGCTGATAAGCACCAACAAAAGTGAAACAGAGGTTAAGCAAAGCTTCCTGCCAACCTTTTGGATTCAATGCGATTACATAGTGATGGGAGGACTCCTACCTCATGGATCCTTGGACTTGGTTGCCTTGTCTGTAACTTTATGATAAATATCACATCACGAATGTTCATCCCCATAAAATCAAGTAAGGCGGTAAATAAACTAAACACACTTTCCAGAATATATACAGAAAAATATTAATTTTATGCATTTAAAAATGCCAGAGTGTTAACTAATGGCTAAACTTAGGTCAGAAAACTGTATAAGTATCTCTTTTCAAACTTTCGGAAATGACTAAAATCTATCCCTATTATTTGAAGACTATGCTAATTAAATGACCAGGAGTTCTTGCAATCTACTGTAAAATAAACTGTAAGGACATCCTTTAGTTTTTGGTACTCAGATCTGTTTATGTAAATATTTTATTCGGTTGTGTTTTGTACACCAAAAAGAATTACAGATGACAACTCAACTTAATACAGGTCTCATAGTTCAGGATAAGTTGTCAGCCTTGTCACCTTATCTGTCCTACACTAGTTTTTCAGTCGAATATTAAAATGCTGAAGAGACTTTTTCTGTTGATTTTTCAAATGAAAAATGGAGTGATCTGTCATTTCATATGAATTCTATCTTGATTCCCAAAAGCAACTGAGAAGTGTTTCAACTACTTTTATGGTACGAAACTTTTCCAATCACACTTTTCAGTCACTAAACGATAACTATTTTTATATTATCAGGAAGAAAAATGACGATTCAGCAAACATATTTTTGTCGACAATATCATTTCTAAATCAACGCAACAAATCATTTACTGTAATGTTCTAGAGTACAACTTTCAAAAACTTTTTCTCCGGACAGCAGGGAATTGTGTAATGAACATCAGTAGTGAAACAGTGGTAAAATAAGAGACTGGACATAGTTCTGGATGGAAATGATGGACTTCCAGAGTTTCTGACATTCACAAATTGCTGGACCATACTGATTGGTCTCACGTTATGGATAACTTTAAAAGGGGATCCAAGTGAATCTACGTAACCTGGATTCAATAGATGCTAACGTACTGAACTGTCAATAGCCATTGGAGATCATGTTCACAGATACGCGTGAAGAGTGAGGGCTTTGTTCTGCCCATATAATGAAACTCACGGCTTCAAGTACTCCTATTGATCAGCTCCCATGTGTCCTAAGGTTGCATTTTGTCGTCAACAAATCCACAACTCAGTTTTCGACTACGGAAGCTGATTCGAAATTCATATTGATCTGGACAGATAGGTCTTCATGATCTCTGTTACATTTTCACCCCTGAAATCAACGCCCATAAACGAAAATCCCTTCCTGGCTCAGGGATTTTTCTCGGTATATTACTTAGCTTTTACATGCTTCCAGAGAAATCTGAAGGAATATCCATTTTTGCAAGGGCACTTGTCAGTGTTTCTATTTAACTTTCAGTTGCAGCATCAGTGAAAATCTTTTAAATTCCTGACGAAAGCAACTGGATTAGAGTTCTTTTTCTCCTCAATGGAGTTAAGCTTTGGAAATGAGTGTACTGATCACTGCATATTGGCTTCCTACAGACCAATCTCCGAAGAGAACCGATCATCTGATGTTTTCAATAAAACATCTGCCATTGTTTGTTCCCCGTAATTGACACATCGGTCGGCTAAGGGTTGAATTCAGTAACTAAGCTAACAAGCTCGGAATAGTAAAACAATGAGCTTAATCATTGAAGGCGATAGCTATTCAGAATTGAGTTATTCGATTGAACTTCTTGCTTCCTCAAGGTTTCCATTGGCTGGTGTCCACTATTACAGGAAATGCAGCTGCTAGATGACTTTGACTTCATATGTTCCTCATCTTTATTCATCTGGTGTTATTTGAACCTCAAACTACATTGGAAATGGGTCACAACTGCCGTTAGCACATTATGGTAGTGTAATAGCACACTTTTATTGTACTAAAAAATAACCTAAATTGATGAAAATTTTTCCCATGAACCCATTTTCACTATTTCTCTTTTTTTCTATATATATTAACTATAGACAATGCTTGCAACGTTAAATGAATTAAAAACTGACTTACTCAGTGTAATGAATATTGGTGAGTCTTTATATGATGATGAGAAAAGTATGCTAACGGAAAAAACCAGCAATGAGTTAAATCTGCTATCTGAAAAACACAATCAGTTAATTATGCGCATTTTATCAGCTTTGGAACGTCTAGATAAAGCCTTACCATTAATTGAAGAGTTGGAAAGTCTAATGTCACAAATAAATGACAATTTGTTGAGTGTTGAAGAGGTGACTGATTATTTGGAGACAGCTGACTGCCCAGTATCAAGAAAGGATTTATTACAGGTAGGTGCATTCCAACTGATTATTTTTCTTGCACAGACAAGTTTTATTGACCAACTTGTTTCTTAAAGTTATTGGAGATCGAGGAAAGTTTGTTAAATTCATTGTATCCTAGCTAAGAGTTGCCTGATAAACTTTAGGCTTAAAGATTGACTGTTTTTATATGATCAGTTTACTGAAAATGAATCAGTGATATTTCATACTATGACAAGAATATTTTTCAAGTTTGGAAATTATTATTCAAAAAATCCCACCAGTAGGCGCAAATGTTGGTACATGATACTCAAAAGTGGATTTGTTGCCTCATCTCTGACACTCTGCTTCACCAACCAGTGCTTCAAACATTATATCATCGGAAGCATGCAGTTGTGTGAGGCCAGAAAAACTGAAAAGCAGATCAGAATATGTTCGTCGGATTTGGAGGCTGATTAAAGAATAGTAGATTAAACACCTACCTCAATAAATCAGGAAGTATTTCTTGTATGTGCAGTTTTCATGTCACCATTTCTCCAGTTAACTTAGAGGACAATAGTCCTGAGTGATGAAATATGTGAGGTGATGATGCACTCTTCATCTGGAAATCAATACCTTTATTTGCTTGAATTAATTCACACGACATGATCGTAATTACTTTTCATCAAAAACTGTAAGTTAACACTTCTGAATTTAGCAAAACTATTCGTGCTACTTAAACTTGGTAAGTAGTACAAAAGTCTAAGTAATTTATCAAGGCCTTCCAACATAGCTTTAACCGAAACTGAAGATTTCAAGCCTTCTGTCAGTTGAATTTAGGGATTTGTGTCCTTTTGTCATCCGACCAGTCGTCCACTGAATAGACAGCTATCTTCCTTGCAACTCCAGCCGATACCAAATGTCAACACTTGTGTGTCACAGAAATCTTAGCGAATCTTCTGTTTTCATTGGGTATATAATTAACATCCCATGATAAAACCAACTTGAAATATGTAATCATTGAGTCTTAATACTTTTCTCAAATACCCTAACTGCTTTCATCATATCACTTTACCTTCACTATTCAGAAAATTTATGTAAAACTAACAAGGCTATGCCAAGATAATGGAACAGTCTGTAAAATTAGACAAGTTGCGAGTAAATTAAAATCATTGACACCATCGGATAAACCAGAATTAACTGCTGACCTATTTAACGAAATTGAAGATCACCTGCATAAAGTTATTATGGCTAAAGAAATCTTTCAATCACAAATGGAGGAGGCTGAAAAGGATGCTAAACACAATGAATTATTGGACAGTTCATTGAATCAATTAAAACTACGCAGTGTACCAACACCGGAATTTGTTGACAAGCTGTCGGTAAGTAATGAATGAGTGTGCACTTATAGTTGATGGAATAAATTTCATGCAAGCACCTACGTGACATGGATATAGTTCGGTATTTTGAGTTACTTGTCAATTTAGAATCATTTAACCTGTTAATAATGACGAAAGAAAACATAACGGATTGGTTTCTTATCGGATTTTATTAGTTATAGTGATCCATCAATGCATAACAACCTTATTTAGAAGTACCATTAAGTAAGTAACTGATAAACGACTTATTGCAAGTGTAAAACCTGGAAACTGTGGCAGAGGATAACTTCATATTTTTACATACTCCAGTCAGCAATTTTCATAACCCCCTGTTGTAGTGACTACTTGGTATAAACTACGTTAGGTAAATGTGGGTGTGGACAGTTGCACAATAACATTCAGATTTCACCTTTAATGGTCGCTCACTTCTTACGTAATTGAAAAAGGCGGTAATATAACAGAATGTGTATTTGGAACGTAAACGTTAACAATATATATATGATACGAATATTATATATACTACATTGGCCTTAGGTATTTCCGGGCCTTTCTAGATTTAAATCCTATTGATTTTTCGTCTCTTTAACCAACCTGATACTTACACGTTGATTCACACGTTTTTTTTCCGAAACTTCGATGCAAAATGGTTTGGTTGAAAAAGGGTTCAGGCATAGATAGCTTCTTATAATGATTTTGTCACCTTTTCTACACACTATAAGACATATAAAATGGGTTTACGGGAAATCACAGTGATACATTGTCATTTACTTTTCGACATTTCGAGGAAATATTAATGCTTAAAATTACATTGAAAAAATTGATTAAAAATCGATAGTTCATTCTTATGGTTCTCTCAGATGGTACTCTTCGTATTCACTGGTGGTAAATTGTCCACATCTAGGGAATGGGTATACCTTCCTTTATGCTGCATACGTTGGGTTTTGGCGCGATAAACAAAGATTAAGTAATGAGAATAAGAAGTTTATCCGAACAATGTGATGTATTTACGCAATACACTTCCCACAATCTGATCACACATTTACTTGTCAAGTCAATTTATGTTAAACCGAAGAATGAGATGAAAAATACAACAATTATCGTAGTAAGTGATTAAAGTAAGAAAGATGTGAGCAAACAGGAAGTGACATAATTGATCCCAATCTTGGTAAGAAAACATAGTTTATCAAGGTAGGTTTAGTTTAACATGGACAGACTAACACTCCCTTGAGTGAATACTACTCGATAGGATTGATTTCACCATAGATATGTCATCAAACGAAAATGCCACTAAATGGATAAGTAGTTACCACTGTAGAAATTCATCTTTACGCCAGCATAAACGAAACCATCCCATTCAAGGTTAACATAACAAGGATGGTTATGGTTTTCCTGAGGAGTAAAGTTTTGAAGAAGGTGGGTACTCTATCCCAATTCAGAAATGTTGTAGGGAAGTTGAAAGGAGTAGTACTGATGTCAAGGTCATACTTGGTGAAGCGAAAGTAGTTGTGTGAGCTGGAGTTCACATTTTCATCACTTTATGCTTACAATGAATCCTTTGGAGGATATGACACCTTCATCTACAATAATGATTCATAGCGCAGAAAGCAGAATATAACTCTATATCCTGAAAGCACGAACAGTTGCTATCAATGAGTCAGACGTCCTCTGCATGCTCTTCTGGTAAACAAAACAACTCCTGACTTGGAACAAGTAAGCTAAAAGAAAAACAAACAGTCAAGTAAAACGTGCATAGAACCAGAAACTAGATGTAAAAACTATGAGGATGAAAGCAGATTGAGCCCAATGGAACAACAGAACCTGACCAAGGCTATCGGTGAAAGTTGTATCCAAGATTGAGTACTTATTTAACAGTTGTTAGTACTACAAGAAAAAAGCACTATCATTAAATCTGTTTTGCTTTTCATTTACAGGCTGAAGTCTACTCAGACTCCGTGATCCATAAATCATCAGGTGAAAACCTTTTATCAATAAATCGTCTAATTGATAATCTCCTGAAATCTGACAGTCAAATATCATCCACAGTTAAAAATCTGGCATGTGAAATACGCATACACTTCAATGGGATATTGAATTTTAATCGTTATTGTCTAGGACAAAATATGCAACTGACTTCGCTGCAGTCCAATTCACGAGCAGATGATAAACAACAAATGACTGTTTTTGAAACCTCGATCTCTGAAAGGAAAACGTTGCTACAGGTAAGTTATACACACCCCTTTATTATATAATCACTGGGTGTCGAATGTTATGAGGCATTGGATTTACAGTGAGACACTGAGGAAAGTTATACTTAAAACACTAAACTTAAACTAGAAAAAAGAACATCATGACTATGATTCTTCTCAGTTGCTATCTGTAGAAAGTTCTGGCCACTACTACATGCTTACTGAGAGTCAGACAGAAGTTTTAGCCTTTTTCAGCAAGTACTGCAAAAATATGAACACTCCTGGTTGTTACTGATCTGCGTGTTTGCAGTAAAATAGGCCAATTAGTTAGTGGTAAGTAGCTGATAGTTTTGAATAAACTTACAATTTAAGTTACGAGTGGATGGAGTACGTCTTCTATCAATCACCATCTGGTCACTAATTTATTCACCTAATCCCCTCCTAAATGCAGATAATCAATGCCTCGTTAGCTCAATGATATTTACTTTGTTGCCAGAGTTGAAAGACTGAGATTTGAAGTGCAGAAAGAGACACAGTTCCCTTTAGATTTCACATACTTCCAGGTGCATATAAAACTTGGTCAACGGAATTTAATAGGTTGTTTGTGGTCAGCTAATAAAAAATATAGTGTCTAACAGTTCTTTTCCCCGAATCTTAGTGAAATATGTTACTGTTTGTCTAGCAGGCTTCAGTAAATAATCCTACCGATAAAATACTATTGAGTCTTGAGAAAAATATCTCTGTCAGAATATATTTTCAGTTCCTCAATATGATGACTGTGTATGATTATCTAGGAGTTACTAAATAATGCATTTTGAGTGTTTTAGTTTAGCTGCAAAAATACTTCACACAACTGGACATGGAAAGTGAATATTCTCTTTCGAAACTTTATAGTCCACTGAGCCGCAAAAATTAGAAGGTAAAGACCGACCTGTGATTGTAAGGAAGACACTTTATTTGACAATATACATCATGTATATACAGTTTTCAGAAACATATAAAACCACTAGGTCAAGATTTAAATAACTTATTTTGATTGGTCAGGTGAAGAACAAAGTTGTCCAATAAGGTTTTTCCTAACTACACAGTGACATGAGATAAAAATTGAAATGCATAACATTTTCTACTGAACATCTGATGACTTAAAACACTGATTTCCATTCAGGCCACTAGTCGAAATATTTTTTTTGAATAAACTGCTACAGAACAAATTTCAGATTTTGATGCACTTAGTAGGTGCACTAGTGAACTATATGGAAATGCACGGTTTTGTTTTGATTTATTTCTCTCTACATTTTTTTGGTTTTAAAAACTATGTGGAACTTGTACTGCTGAATTCAAAGTAAGATAATTTTCATCCAATGAACAGTAGTGTGATGAGTTTGAGCAAAGTAGGCATGGGTTACATACTCTCTTATTTCATCTTGTAACAGATGTTGGAGTAGCTATGATCAAAGATGGTGGTTTAATCAGCCGTGTGGTCGACACAGAAGAAATTGATCTTTCTTTTCATAACATGGCATACTAGTCTGTTTAGGTCAACTAACCAGATTCAGTTTGTTTAAACAGTTTTACTTTGAGCTGAAACTGTCTAGGTACACCGTTGATAAGCCCAGCAAAAACAGGGAGCATGGTACTTAGCGAAGTCTGCATATCTACGTAAGTGGTTTCCAGTCACTATTCTCTGAGGACATAAATTATCACTACACTCTTAAAAAGAATAGAACTGAACTACAACAGGAATGAATGCTACTTAGTTTACTTTAGTATTTTGAGGCTAACCTTTGCTAAGACTGACTTCAGGGAGTATCGCAACACTGGCATGAAGGATTCGAACACAAATATACCTTTCTATACAACGGCTTCGATCGAAGTGACCATTTTCCGTACTGCTATCTTATTGTGATTAAAGCAAAGGGTGTACTTCATTCATGCATTTCTGATAAATATCATTCGTAGTAAACTTATGGAGAGATGACTTATTTAAGTAAACTAGTAGTCAAACACATTTGTAAACCATCATCATTTTCATGGTCAACTTTCAAGGCTATCAGAAAAACTTCTGAAAAACATTTTTTTCTAACATACTACGTAAAGGTGATATCAGATGTCAAAGAATTACAAATATCACTGTTGACTATGCATAAAAGTAGATAGGTAGCTAGTCATAAAGAAAGTATATTCCATGAGTGCACAATGTGAGTGAAACCCTATCTGTTACAAGAAGGTCATTTTCACCTTCATTCAGTAAGTCTATGTAATATCAGAGATGTGAACATTGAATACTTTTTTGCTGACTTCTTTACATATCGATAATTTCTAAATGCAGTAAACAGGTTCTTTTTATAAAAAAAGGGTGAATTATGGAATCATTTAAGTTCGTCGGGGTACATTCAGTCTACCCTTACTTGAATTGTTTATTCATTTCTGTGAGCAGATTATCCTGGTTATCGATCAGGGGGACTCAAAATACATGTTTAACTAAGTCAAACGGAAGAATACTTGGATTTCATCTAACAATTTAGTTTTCATCAGATGAATAAATAACATACATAGTTTGAAAAGAGCTGACAGAACCCACTTTTCTGATTTGTTTTACGTATTACATTCAGAGTATACGAAGCACGGTAAGTACTGTTACGAAATAGCTTAACCTGATTAATAAATTGTACCTAATAGTTTCCATAGCATCTCGTGTCAAATATTTATGTTAAAGGCGTGTAATAAATTACTTGTCTGAAGGAAAGCAGTTTATGCCGAAAGAACCTCAACACCCCATACCTTGATGCTCTCGAATTCTATGAGTTGGGCAGCTTAAGTTGAAAAATTTGGTTTTTCATGATGGATAGTAATTTCAGTAAGAAAGTAATAAAAGTTGAAAGTTTTCCGTTTTTTCATGATTTTTATCTATCTGTGTGCCCTAACAATCTTCGGAATATCTTATTAATTGAAAGAAATGTTTTATTAGTCGAACAGGTTTGTCGGTATTTTGTTTTGTTTCGTGTTTGTGTTAACTATCATCACACATTTCTTCACTGGGTAAGTTAAGTAAGGACTCAACCCAAGAATAATTTCTCCTTTAATCTGATAACCTCATTTTTGTTGCTATTCCAACATTGAGCTATGACCAGCGTTATTTGTTTACATTTATTATTAGTAATACTTGCATAATTTGCATAGATTCTTCATGGAAATGTTTTCATATTCATGTTGATTCATTTATTCTATTTCAACTAGACCTATTTCAAGTTTACAGAATCTGTAAGTGTCAGTGTGTGCCAGAGTGAGATAGAGATGAAGCAGTTTCATGTGGTGGAAAAGTGTTTGCTCTTCCCCCGCTCCATCTAAGCATCAATATGTATACGTATAACAAATGGACCTATACAGCTATTTCTTTTTCTGTCTGTGCGTGTTGTTTCTTGTTTATTTACAAATTGGCGGTCTCTTTTATTTCATTTCTGTTTGATTTAGTCATGTATGTTTGGTTTCTGCCTCGGTTCGGCTTTGTCTATTGCTATTTTCAATTGCCTTATAATTATTACTATTGTCATGTTCATTGTTGCACTATGTGAATTGGTGGATTATGAGTATCAGATTCACAAAATATGGAAAGGTAACTATTCATTAAAGGTTGTGCGCATGCATGACCATGTGTATGTGTCTGTATGAATTTACTATGAAGGCCTTCGTCAATGTATTGCTGACTTCTTATTTAGTAATATAAACTATATACTAACTGGCTAAATAGCAAAGTTTAGGTTTAATGAAGTCAAAATCAACATGCGACCTAGTATTCCTGCGTAACGGTCCTATTCGGTAACAAATTCAGTTCAGCTCACCAACCAAAATAGAGAAATATATGGAGAAGTAAGCGAAACCCATAGAAAGAGAGCAAGAAGGAATAAGAAAATAACAAACCTCACTAAGACAACTAAGATAAAGATAACACGTGAATATATCTGTGCCACTGAGATTGGTTCTGAGCCGTATCACCTAGTCTTCAACCACCGATTTCGGCTATGTTGAGGATCGCAAACGGGAAGTCTATATTCCTCAAAACGACTCAGTACAAAAACCAACGGCTTCAGGAACTGATACCTGGTTTGTGTCTGGTCGTCTCTGATCCTTTTCCAGCCTGAACCTACTTCAGGTTTAAGGCAGACGGTGACCAGGCATATGTAACACAAGTTCAAGCCACCTGAGTTGATGAATCTTTGCAACCCCATCAAGTGACTTTTTTCTCCCTAAAACTGTTCACCTCACCTCTATGTTACTGATGTGGTGACAGCATGACACATGGCTGATGCTACGAGGACATCGGTGGTCAACATATCTAAAGCTTTCTCATTTACTCTACCTCTAATGGCTATGTTTGACAACTGTGTAGCAGAAAACAGTCAACTTCTGCTCAGTATATGCAACTCTTAACAGGTTATCGGAAATGACGATGGTAACATAATCAGCCTTATTTTTCAAAAGATGATTGGAATTTCTCCATCCACTGACCTATTAGAGCTGATTCAACCTCTCAGATAAGTGAACTAGTCAACATGCCCAACCATTTCACCCCTTACTGTTAGATTGGGCACTAGTGAAGACCAGTACTTGAGCAACAGTTTACTTCCGGGTGATGAGAAGAGCATCTCAAACAATTTTAAATTTTTACTGAAGGCATCCAAAAGACTGCATTTTGTCGGTGCTTTCACTTAAAAGAATTATGGCATCTATGTTCTTTTAGGTCTACTAAGGTATCTCCAATTCCTGTGAGAAGAAACGAGGAGAGGGAGATTTCCATAAGTACATCTATAAACACCACCCGAGGCAAACAACTTACCTAACAACTCATCTCAGGTTCTAATACGCATACATAGGGTTTAGCTGGATTACTGTGTACTTATCCAGCACTCCTTTCAGTGAGAACCTAAATAATATGCCGCCTTCAAGTCAAGAAATCCAGCTTGTATCGTCATTGGTCAGTGTGTCCGTGCTTCAAAACCTGGGGCGTAATTATGTGGTCATACAACCGGTGCTAGGTCTGAATCCTATCTGATTTTCTTGGATTTGGTGTTTCCAACCTTTACTTAGGTGTCTAATTATTATAAAGCCTAGAATCCTGGACACTATATCTATCAAACTCATCTACCTGTGATTATCAAGAAAGGATTTCTTAAGGACTGAAAATATGAGTGATTGAGACAAGTTAGAGGGGATCACATCTTATTTCAATACTTTAGCGAGTACTTCAGTTAACTAGATCAATAATCTGCCATCGCTTTGCTTAAAGATCTCCAATACTGACTAACCCATCTGCTCCTACTGGTGTTCGTCGTTTCGGGTTATTTACAACTACTTTTGGCTTCTATATTTGCTGGACGCTTTGTCTCAATGTTCCATTCAGGATCCTACTGGAACAGAATAATAGCTAGAGGAAAATCGAACTGTTCCTTGAAGTGCTTCACCTGCAAGTAAATCACGGACTCACTCTTCACCGTAGTATCACTAACCATCGACCTTTTTCGATCCAGTTCTCCTAATAATTCTAAATAACTGTTACCTATCACAGCTGCGTTCTCCACCTGTTTATCCTTCACTGCCAACTACTGTTCGTGGTTATTGCGTAAATATTTTGTCAGTCTACATTTGAGTTGACTCAGCTTTTCATTGTGTTCGTAGCCTGCAGGAGTGCTTTCTGGAATATGCATTAATTCAAATGAAACTACTAAAGTCCAATGACCGCCTCACTAATCTTTCTGATGTCCACTTACTGTTTTTCAGGCAATTTTACAGAGAGCTGGAGATAGTGTCAGGCTTCATCTGGACAAGTGACTATGTCTTGTTCTAATACCTATCTAGCCAAATCCTCATTGAAAAAAACTTAGTATTCTCATCTTTGAGCTGCATTTCGAATGGTTTTGTTGATATAGTTTTTCTTTGTCTCTTAACGTGTAGACATACACGTGCTCAAACCAATGTTTGATCACTGACGAAATACTTCCTACAGAAGGTGTTTCAATCTCCTGTAGACTCTCTCTAACAATAACTGACAGCAATATGATTTGTCTGTTTCCACTACCGAGTTGAAATTGATGAACGTTGCGTCAGTAACTGTTTCACTAAAAAGGCAGTTGTCTGAACACAGTTGTAACAGGTGATGGGCGTTACAAGTTTGTTAAGCTACGATTTCAAAAGTCTCACTCCAGAAACTTTCGCCTTGACCCCAACCTTCTCACTTTTGTAGTGAAATCACCTACTGTGACAAACATATATGAGCACCTGGCTCTAACTAACAGTCTAATCAGTTTTCTGTAGAGCTCGCCTAAACTTCAGAAGTGCAAGCAGTGGATGCGTAAGCAGAGATTACAAGAGAGAACGACAAGTTTCATCATTTTTCTTAGTTTTGACTATATGATAGTACCTCAATCTTAATCGGTTCAGATCACCAAAGTCGACATAATGGAATTTGATTGTCTGCAACCAAGATTTTTATATGACACAGACGGTTTGGACAGATGAATAATAACTCAATTCATAATGGTTCAGGCATTCTATGAATTAAGTCGATGCATCACTTCTGATTAACGGATCACGGCATAAGTATTTGTGCACCAAACATTGAAAAGATCCATTGGTTTAGCACTCATTTACAGACTTGGCAGTCTCTAATAGATGGAAACAGAATGAACACACTTTTCATCCTAGTCTGCAACTCCTGCAGTGAGAACAGACTAGATACAAATCGGGTCGAGAAAAAGACTTTTTAAGCATAAGACGAGTGTGTTAATATCCGACAGATGGATAAGAATCTAAATTCCCGAGATCTTAACTTCAGTTGATCTGTGATACGCTGTGACACTATCAATGTCTGTCCAGTCGGCTTCTACCATCATTCTTGACTTGCTTGATATCATAAGTCATGACTTTTCGTCCTAAACCACCATGCACTGATACTGAATTAGGTGGATTCGCAGGACTATGATACTGTCATATACTATTTTTAAGATGAAACACTTTTACGCATACAATATATAAAATGTAGTGGCCAGGGTAAGTCACGTATAATAGGGCAAAAGATCCTCAAATGACCAGGTTATGACTACAGATTTGCTTACTTGGTTCAAACTGCAACTACGGGTTGGAACTGCATTCATCTGAGAAGATATCGAGTTAAGTTGACAATTTTCAGTCACCGTTAGATGGCAATAAGGGGTTGGATTCTTATCTTCCAAAATAAGTGTTATTTACATAATTCATACCTCATAATAAGAACGTCTTCTTTTCGACCACGTATTGGATTAGTTAGACTCTTCAATCATGCAAATGTTGTGGTGTATTTGTGAACAGAACAGGGAAGAGGATCATCTGGTTTTGTCATACCCACAAGTGATATCAGTGAAACCTATCTGATCTGCTGGTAACACTTGTTTGAAATATGGTCACCGAAGCATAATTTCAGAATCTTACTAGAATACCAAATATTCTTACTAACCAAACCATCCCTGTT